TTGGCCTACCGGAAGCCAGATACTCCAGCCAGCAGAGGACTCTACTAGTATCAAAAACTACAAGTTTCCACAGACCTTTCAAAGTGTTCTCCTCAGTACAAAGTAAGCACTATGCCAAGCTTCTATGCTATGCCCCCTACAGGTCTCCTAACTATGGTAGATCCATCATCCACAGCTGCAATAACCACATCTACAGAGTCTTTGTGAACAATCAAAAGAAAGCTGGCGTATACTACACAGCTCTTGAGGGATTGTCCCAGATAGACTGGGATTACCGGAGAGATCCAGACCACGCAAGTATCGCAAGTTTGCAAGCTCCAAAGGAACTGTGCCCGCCAGGTTGTTACGTGACAAATCCAGCTGCTGTAGGATGTCACAATCACCAAGCTCCGACGGAATAGATCCAGTAAATAGATTGCCGGAGGCATCAAAAAACGACATGTTGTAGAGATTACCCAGTTCGCTTGGAAGCGGCCCAGATAGGTCCTGAAAGAAGCAACCAAACACGTGAGTCACTTGCAATAAGGCAGCTTCAAGGCAAAGACAAGTATTGATTGAAAAAGGCAGCCAGCGAGACTTACATTGTCTTGCAGAAAGAATTCATACAAACTTGTTAGAGCTCCAACTTCAGTTGGGAGAGTGCCATGGAACTTATTTCCGTACATGTAAAGCCAGTACAGGTTGGAGAGGTTTCCTAGTGCAGTATCAATGGTCCCAGAGAGAGTGTTGAATTCCATGTATAGATGGCCAAGGGTTGTCATGTCATAGAATCCAACTGGTACCGTGCCTGAGAGTCTCATCCAGCTTATGTCAAGGTAATAAGTGTCAGTCAATTTTGAGCCTGATGCAGGAATGGTACCTCGAATCGCATTGTCGTAACTTGACCAGTGCCACAACTTTGGTAGAGACCACATCTCTGTAGGCAGCAATCCTGTGAATTGGTTTTCTTCCAAATGAACATTCACAAGGTTTGTCAGCTGACCAACCTCTGGAGATATTGAGCCTCGCAACTGATTGTGTGCCAATTCCAGGAATTTCAGCTCTTGCAAGAGGTACAGTTCAGATGGCAGAGTCCCATGGAGCGTGTTGTTGACCAAACTGATATAAGTCAGGTTGGACATCTTCCCAATGGTGGATGGAATCGTAGATGTCAACTGGTTCTCATTGAGATAGAGTTCTCTGAGGGACTCCAGTTGGCCCTACAGGAACATTCCAGAGGCAAGTTTTGAGCAAAAGATTACCAACAAGCATGTGTAAGCCGCCAAGAACCAGAAACACTTGCAACTTACAAGCTCAGAAGGGATGGTTCCAGATATCCGGCCATTCATAAAGGCAATCTGCTGTACACTGGTGGACAAACCAAGTTCGGATGGAATGGTGCCGGTGACATCAGTGGCAATGAGTCCCAGTATTTGCAGCTCCGGCAGCTCATGCAAGCAATTGGGGATGGACCCACCCAAGGGATTAGCTCCCACGAGAATGGTTTGGAGTGATGACAACCAGCAGATTTCATCTGGCAGCTTACCGCGGATACTGTTCAAGACTAGTTGGATCTTTGTGTATGCTTCTGGATTGTTGTTGTCGGTGCAGATACCTTCCCTCCAGAGGGGCTTCAGAGTCTCTGAGAAAAAGAGTTGCCCCGCTCTTTCCCAGGGAATGTCAGAGTGAAACCAATCACACTCATGCTCTTCATGACTGAGCCAGAGTGAATCATCTAGCCAGTTCTGCCCTTCTGTAGAAAAGTACAGGATTGCCAGTGCTAAACGTTGCCGTATTCGCCAATCTTCGTAGGCCCGAACAGATGGATCCTCCAAAAGCCAATAGAATGCCTTGTGTTGCGGTGAATTTGGATTGTCCAAAGCATTCTTGGTGTCCTCCGGCAGCACCTTTAGAACATGCTCCATGGCGGATAGAGGAGTCGTTGGTGCATTAGTCGGGGCGGTTGTGGGTGTCTTGGTTCCTCCTGCTGGTTCTTCGCTCGTTGCCGCTTCCGATTGTTGGGTGCTGGACAGCACAACTCCCACGACGACCGCTACAATAATCCCAATGGTCAGCACTACCATGGCTCCGAGCATCCACAGGGTCCGCTTTCGTCTATTATTTTGCCGTTCCTCGTCTTCTTCTTCCAACACGGCGGTGATCTCGTTGGCCAATGGTAACGATGAAAAATGCCCCGATTGTACCGGATTTGCAACGGCCAAAAACTGAGAGCTACCCGGCCGCTGCGATTTGCTGCTGTTTTCACCATCCCCACGCGATACCATATTATTGAATTCGTCCTGTAATGGAGTGGATTGAGCAGTATTGGTAGCGTGGCTCATACGGGCAAACGACGAGTACCTCATGGGAGCCGGAGTGGGCTGTGTCCCCGTGTGGTCCGCGGCAAACGCCCCGGGAGTCAAAGCTCCTCCATTCAACACGGTATTATTGTTGCGTGCCTCCCGTCTGAGGTTCGGGGGCTGTAAGGCAGCAACGGCAGAGTCGGGCAGATCATCCTCCGATTCTTCTTGCCTTGTTGGATTCTGGTCTGGTGGCAGGAAAATCCTTTGTTTCTCGGCTGCCCCGTCTGATTTTTCTCCCTTCGTTGCGGAGGATGGTTGTTGTGGCGACACTCGATGGAGCACCTTTTCCATCGAGACTTCTGCCTCTTGGACTACTGCGGGGGCTTGGTTCTGGGCGGCTTGTTGTTGTTGTGGCATTTCCATGGCTTGGTCCAGCACCTGCTGGACCCATGAATCGCTGAGACTGGTGATGGTATCAGTGCTGTTGCGTGGTCGTTGCAGTGTCGGAGGAGTTCCGGTCTCTTCGGCGGGTAAGGCGTTGGTAAGGACTTGCTGCACCCAGGATTCGTCCAGACGGTGCATGGTAACGTTGCTATCACGCTGTTGATGTTGACTGGAAGCTGTATCTCCAATAACTGAAATGGAGTTCTCTCTTCTCTTTTGCACTGATAACGGGGACGACGACAACATGACTTTTTCCAATCCTTCTTCGGCCATTGCAAGTTGTCGTGGTATTTGCGGGGCTCTACCGTTTTCTTGTGGTGCTGGCACGGCAGTATTGATTGTCGTTGCGGGAGGACCACTAGCAAGGAGAACCTTCTCTATCGACGTCTCTGCTGCCATTACAGCACCAGGGGGGTTGGGTGTTCCCTCCTGTCCGGTACTGTCGCTTCCACTTGCTGTCATGGTTCTATTCGTCTGTGCTGTTGGATGGAAGAGAACCTTCTCCATTGATGCATCAGCCTCTATCACAGCAATGGGAGGGCTCGTCGAGACGCCATTCCGGGCATAAGTCCCCTCCTGTTCAGCATGATGGCTCGTGTCCCCACCACGGTCTCGGCCAGTGGGCTTCTTCCTACTGCTCATCTCGTCTCCCCAAACCCTTGGTTTGTCGGAGCAATACCCTTCTTGTAGCACCCTCTCTGGCTGCTATTATCTGGCTTGGGATATGGGATATCCCTCTTCGAACAAGTGTAGCTGTTTGCATACTACCGGTATGGGACATGGCGGTTCCATTATTATTTGGACGGTCATGTTGTCTTGTGTGTACCACTCTCAATGCAGCCACAAGTCTCGTCTGGCAGTATGGTGAGGTCTCTCGTGAGAAGTTCGAAGAACGGTACAGTAGCGAAAGCTAGTTGAGCTTATAACATCTCTTGGTGCGACTTTGCAAAGGCTCCCCTCCTACGCCACCACTTCTTTACCAGATTCTATAGCAAGGAACCTCAGCCATCTCCCTGCAATTTCCCACAGCAGGTGCCCTCATCTGCCTACCATTAGCTTATCCCCTTGCTCCTTCTAAAACCCTCTATGTAGTTAGTTGTTTTACCCCCCCCTCATCATGCTTCATCACTCCAGAGAACTCCTGCATGCTAGCCACTCAATTTTCCCAGTGGTGGCAGACCCTAAAGCCAACCCTGATGATGAACCAGTCTCATTGAAAAAGCTACTTCAGGGCGAAGGAGTGTGGATTTTTCGCAAGGAAATCTTGGGATGGATCTTTGATAGCATTTCACGCACCATTGAGCTCCCACCTGGAAAAATTGATAAGATTCGGACAGCCATCAACAAAGTCCTCCATACAAAGCATTGCCAATTGACTGATCTTCAATCCCTTATGGGCAAACTCCAGCATTCTTGCTTGGAAATCATCACTGGAAAACTAGCCCCATTGTACAAGCTTCTCCCAGCTACTCACTCCAAAACATCACACCAACGTGGCCATATCTCCGTTCCCCAGGAGTCTGAGGCTTACAATGCATTGCAGGATATCCACACAATGCTCAAGATTGTCGCCAATTGGCCAACCACCTCGCCACAGGACACCGCAAGAGTCATTCTTGTGTGGAAGAGTCGGCTCATCTCATCAATTTGTCTGGCCACTGCTGATGCAGAGTACGATGCTCTGACCCAGCTCCTGGAAGTGCCTCATGAGATGTGGGTTACCATCACATCAAAGGCTGCTGCAGACAACAGTGCAGCACTCATTTTGGCACGTGACCATGCCCTCACATCCAGGACAAGGTACTACTACCACACACAAGCTCATCACTTTTGGCAGCATGTGGGTCATGCATTGAATGTGTCTTCTGACCAGTTGTAGTCTTTCATCAATTTCTGTTTGAGCCGTGGGTATGTTCTGGCATGTTTCAACTCTTGTTTGAGATTGAATGTGACTGTTCCTTGTTTCAATTCAACTTGGCATCCACTGGTGGGTAAGATGACGGAACAGTCCAAATCGTGGCTTGAGAAACCGCACTGATGCATGCGGACTACTTCACCAAGATCAAGCCTCGAGAGGGTATCATGGAACAGGGCAAGGACGAATTTGGCAGATGGGTGTACACAACCTACCGATGCAAAGCCAACACCTGGTGAGTGACAGTGATCTCTGATGGCAGAGGATTTCAGGTTGGATGACATTGGGATTCCTGCTGCTGTAGCAGCTACCTGTGTTCCTACTGACTACATGAAACAGAAGCCTATCTGATGAGAAGAGGAGACACTACAGGAAGTCCCTAAATTGCATAGTTAAAAATGTCAAAACAAAATACTAGTAGCACCTCTAGCTAGCATTTGGCTCAGTGGGAAAGATCAGCTTCACACAACTGCGTGGAGAGTCAAGTCGCCTCCTCAAGTGAAAGTGAGTCCTTCACTTGGGTCGCATTTTCATCCTGGAGTATTGTCAGAGGTTGGGTCGGGAATAGTTGTGGAGTTGGGCTAGTACAGCTGAAAGGTGGTATATGTACCACCTCCAAAAAATCACTCAGATGATGAAGTCGCTAGCCATTGATTTGCCTGTCAAAGCAAGTCCTTCACTTCTAAATATATCGTTTGCCCAAGAGCATACATGATCGAATATTAAATTCTAAATCCCTTTGAACCCCACTTTGCGGTGTTTCCTTAGACAATCCGTCCCACAGTATGTGAAGGAATACTTGGTGTAGTATTCACCCAGAATGGGTTCAAACATCTTTTTGCAGACGGAACAAGGAATGTACTCTTTCGGCACTTCCTTGGGAGGCGGAGGCGTCCACCAGCACAGCAATCGTTTCGGATTGGCTCTCAAGAGTATATCAATGACTGCTGGTTGTTGTTGTTGTTGTTGTTGTGCTTGGAGCCGTGGAACGAGATGCTCCAGGATGGCCGTGTACCCAACGCCCCCATATTTGGTGTATTGTAGTTTCATAAAGATTCCACTGGAGAGAACAATTTGATGGATGTATTGGTCTGGTTTGAGTTTGAGTAAGGTATCAATGAGTTGTGCTACTTGTTGGACACTGGGATAGATGCCATCCAAATCCCAAATGGCCGATGCCACGGCACAGTGATCGAAACAGAGACAGACTCCACGGTCTAGCAGCCGGCACAACAATGTCATGTCGTGGCGGTAATACAAATCCGCCCGCGTCAGTACCGTCCGTGACAAGTCTCCTCCACACCGTTCGATTTGATCGAGTGCCGATTCGACATGTTGGGAAGGAACGTCCAAGAGAAAGGGCGCCCCGGTGGTGTGTTGTACGACGGCGCAAGCATGGAGTTGTCGTTCTTGCGATGGATCATTCAAGTCGGTAATGTGCAATTCTCCAATAAATCCCGCTCGGACCAGGAGTGGTTCCGATTGGTCTTGTTGTGATTGTTGTTGTTGTTCCACTCCATAGATCAATTCCTGCTCCATTCGATCAATGTCCCGTTTGGAAGCTTGTACGGCATCCACATCTGTTGTGCTTGTGGTGGGTGTGGTTCCCAAAATAATGTGTTTTCCCGTCTGCTGACTAATGATGCGAGCCTTGACGAAATCTCGTCCTCCATCCACCGAAGTAGTATCCAAGAGGGTATCTCCACAGTGGCCCTTATTGGTGAGTTCGTGGACGGCATCGGGAACGGACGACAAGGTCATGTTGCTGGCATTCACAAACGGATTGGCACGAATGTGGGCGAGATCATCCCAGACAAGAGCCGTTCCACTGGCGGGTCCTGTCATGCGGAGGGCAGGGTCGCAAATCAAGGGTTCTTTCATCAAAACATCGCCTAATTCTTCCACAGGACCCAACACCGTCATGGCCTTGGGAATGACGGTAGAAGTCGCATTGCCATTTGTTGCGGCAAAACTGGCCATTGCGAGGCTTTTTCTCAGAAGACTCGCTACTAGCTAAGATCGCGCGTTCTCTCTTCCAAAGTCTCTGGAAGAACAATACTGCCGACCGGTAGCTAGGAGCTATAGCTAGCTATGTACATGTATATATAGCTAGAAGTATCGATGATATGGTTGTTATTACCTTCTTCGGTATTGTCGTATCGTCATGTGGTCGCCGATGGCGAATGCATGGCGAAGATCTTCGGATCCAAAGATCTTTGCTTTCCGGTGGTTGAGATAACAGCTCTGCAGGCAAACCGAAGATCAGCCCACCGTTTCTTCCCGAAAGATCCAGAACGTTCTTTTTTCGGTCATTTTTTCAGAGGGCCTCCCACAATAAAATTGCACCCAACCAAAAATCTTGGAAGCAACTGTTGCGGCAATGCTAGCTATCCGGATAGTCTTTCCCAATGAACCCCACAACAACATCCCAATGGCAAACATGACAGCAATAATCAAAAGATTGAATATCCCATGGATTCGTTGCCTTCTAATTCTGCTACTAGCATCGGCACTGCTTACCAACGCCCACGTCATTTTGTACAATGGAAGAATCTACACGGTCGATACTGACCATCCCGAAGCCACGGCGTTAGCGTTTGACGAACAAGGCGTGATTACCGGCGTGGGTTCGTACCAGTCTCTGCTGGAACAATTCCCCGACTACGAGACGCTTGATCTGCAAGGACAACTGGTGCTACCCGGTTTTATTGACCCACATCAACATCCGGTGGAATTTGGCATCAATTCGCAAATCTGTTACGTCAGCAACACGGCTCCATTGGCGGAGATTCCACTGTGGCTGCAAGATTGTCCCAATAGTGGAGCATTTGGAGATCAGGGATGGATCGTGGGAGCGGGAGTCGACTTGGCCAACCTCGTGGCAGAGCTCGAACAACAAGACGCGTGGTATACGCCCCTACAAGTACTCGATGACAGTTTTCCGGATACACCCGTCGTCATTCTGGACCAACTGGGACATGGAGCATTGGCCAATAGTGCCGCCATGAATGCCGTGGGATATCAGGCAGGGACGGATCTTCCGGAAGAGGGTGGACACGTGTTGAAAGACATCAATGGCAATCGTTTGGGAATTGTGCTCGAGAATGCCCAACAAAAACTACGAGACGCGTTCTTTCCTCCCACCAAGACCAATCAGGAGACTGCCTACCAGAGTCTATTGCAAGCGCAAACAACACTCAATCGAAATGGGATTACCACGGTTTCGGATGCCGGAGGATTCTGGAGACAAGCTCAAACCGAATCATGGGCCCGAGCCGAACGAGAAGGACTCTTGACGGTGCGGGCCAGCAATGCACTCTACATTTATCCCGATGAAGTCTTGGAAACACAACTGCCCAAGCTGGAACGCCGATTCTCCAACGACAAGACCAAACTCGTGCGATTCAATCAGGCCAAGATTTACGTCGATGGCATTCTATCCTTGGGTACGGGAAAGGTTTACGATCCGTACTTGTACGATCCCTTTGCTCCATACAAGACGGCAACAATACAAGAAGAATGGCGTGGCATGGAATACTTTGGCAATAGCAGCAATCTCAACCGCGTCGCACAATCACTCGTCGACAAGGGGTTTCAATTGCACGTTCACGTCACGGGAGATGATGCGGCCAATTTGGCCATTACGGCCATTGAACAGTTGACCACCAACAGTACGGGACCTCATCGTCTCACCCATTGCTACCTCGTCGATGCTGCCGATCGTCCGCGGTTGGCACGCGCTGGAATTGTGGCGGACTTTCAAATGGCACCCAGTTCCGTCACTCGCGCCTATCAAGATGATTTGGCCGAACTGGTGGGAACCAATCTGGCCGCCACATTGCTTCCCATCCAGCAAGTTTATGATGAGGGTGCCATGGTAACGTTGAGCAGTGATTGGGATGCCGATGCACTGTCGCCACTGGTCAAACTGCAAACCGTCATGAAACGGGGCGACTTTCAAAAGTTGGAAACTATCATTCCCATGATGACCTTGAATGCGGCCAAACTACTCCATCAAGACAGCACCACTGGTTCCATTACAGTGGGCAAATATGCCGATCTGGTGGTGATTGATCAGGATATCTTTGATCTTCCGTATGATCAGATTGCCACTGCCAAAGTGACGCGCACGTACCTGCAAGGAGAAGTGGTATTTGGCGATTCTATAGCATCAAGCAAGAGGAGCGGAAACAAAGTAAGCAATGCGTATGCATCGACAAGGGGTCATGGGCGAACAAATCCCAAACACGACGACCCTCAATGGCCTGGATCCAAGCACTTGGATGCCTTTGGTCTGACGATAAACATTCTCCACGATGCTGTCCCACACGAGACTTCGTGGGAACTGGCTCGCCGTGACGGCGACACGTGGACGACTGTTCGACTCTATCTTGGGAGCGAGGAAGGACAAGAGTCTTCCATGGTTTCCACCAGCCTGACAAACCTTGTTGGGGGAGCTTGGTATCGCTTGACGGTCAGCGATGAAGGCAGCAATGGTATCTGTTGCGACCGTGGGAAAGGATGGATCAGTGTCACCGGTGTCGTGCTCGCCACCACAATGCCGGGGCTTGTATGGGGCAACAATGGCGAGTTTGGAAGCTCCATTGAGGTCTACATTGAGATTGATTCGTCGGGATATGTCGATATGATTTCATTGGATGCTTCTACGGCAGAGACAGCATAGAACCCAGCCCATGATGCCACACCACCAACCAATCTGTTGAAGCCAGCAATTCCTATACTATACTGTACCATATTACATATCGGAATGCATCCACCCTGCAACATCTCACCTCCATGCATGCAGCCCTTTTGCAGTGTGTCCCATCCCAGCAACTATTGGTAACGCTTAGCAGTAAGTTGTATCACTGTAGCCAGCTAGCCATGTTTCCATACCAAGGATGTTTCTATGCATGGCTTTATTATTAGTGGTAAGTTAGTTGCTCATATTGTGTTCGACACTATCCACATCATCCAACTCTTCCAGCGCATCAATGATTTCCATGTTCTTGTCAAAATCCTCATCACTGCATTCCACCGGCGCCTTGGTGACCCACGTCAAGGACATTTTGGTTTCTTCCTGTCCCATGATGGAATGTACGGCATCGTTCATGACGGCAGCTTCCTTTGGATCGGTGTAGATTATTGTGGTTCCATCTTCCTCGATCATTTCGTAGTCGTCGCAACCGGCTTCAATGGCAGCCTCCAATACGGCTTCTTCGTCCAATGCGGCGGGGACTTCAATTTTGCCGCGTCGATCGTACATGAACAAGACGGACCCCGATTCGGCCATTTTTCCATTGCGTTTGCCGACGGTGGACTTGACATCTGCCGTGGCACGATTATTGTTGTCTGTAGATACATTAATGACAAAGGATGCTCCTATAGATATTGTAATGCAAGCAAGCAAATTTTGAAGCAGTGAGAGATCCAGGAATGCCGAGAGGATGGTGCCGACTTCATCTTTCCATCAAACTTGGACTTACCTCCTAATCCGTAGGCTTCAAAGGTAGATTCGGAGAAATCCCCCGTACTGGCTTCGGAAGCTCGTTTTATTGCACGGTTGATGTTCTGTAGCATTAATTGAACGAAAAGAGCAGACAGAAAAAAAGTGAGAGGTCCATTTTCTTGCATTCTCGCTCCTGATACCCCACAGAACAAAACAAGCTGAACCAGCTAGTATAGTCTACTTGGTGTTTCTTTTCGTTCTTACTTACATCTACGGGAACGGAATTGGATTTGGCCTGCTTGATGAGATCGGCCAACATTCGATTGGCATTGGGATCCGGACTTCCTCCCTGTTTGACGGCCATGATGATTTTCTTGCCAAAGACAGCATTGACCTTGGCCTTTTTGGCATCCGTCTTGGACTTGGTGGCAGCTCGGACGGCGGCAGCTCGGCCCATGAACAGAGGCGAAAGACGGGTCGTCGATGTGGTTGGCTGCTGGAGGGTAGTAAACCCAGAGACCAAGCTGGATACCCATACTAGCAATAGAGGAATCGTCAATCGTTGCACCATCTTGTTGTTTGTTTACTTTGACTATAGTATTTCTTTCTTCTGCGATCAATCTAATCGACTTCTTGACGAAGCAAGGTAGCTGATGGGTGGTGGTACAGTACTAGGTACCAGGTACAAGGGGGTTGTCAACTCTGGCATAGAAGTCGATGATGGTGGCATGCTTGGCCATGGTGGGAGTTTTCTTTTGGGCTTGGAAGCAAGTACGTCACTCACAAGTCACGCTTCAATGTTTGAGTCCCGGTAGTTGACGATATCGAGGAGTCCCGGTAGCAATAGCGCTAAGGTTTAATGTTTAAAAATAGCAAAAGTTCAAAAGTACTTTGGTACATGCATGTATTCCACTTGGTACGTGGTACCGGTACATACTGTCCCTCCTACAGTCTGGCATCATCCTTCTACCCTTCACCATCGACCCCTAACTTGATCTTGGCAACCTTGCCTAGGTTTCAGTCCAACTGGTTGCACTGGGTACTGGTAGAACCTTCTTTTCCAGCACCGCAAGGGTTTGGTTATGCCGAATGGCAAATATGAATCTCAATCAGCTTGTATCTATTGGCCACAGGCAGCCAGCTATAACCGCAGCAACATCAAAAAATTGTGTGAACATAGTTTAGCCGCCCATGACAAACTGGCAGTAGTATTTTTATGGGGACTGGTGCTGTACCTCTATGGCGTTGGGGAATGCAGAACTGTTCTTGGCGCTGCAGAACGTCGCTTGCCACACTGGTACCGTAGCGGTACATGCAAAGCTCCTCACGTTTACCTCGCCGCACGTGACTGTCCGGTAAACATTGCTGAAGAACTTTGCTTGTGCAGTGATCATGATGATGGCTGGTGGTGTCGGTGACGACATGATGCTGTGAAGACATCCACAACTGAGCTTGAATGTTTCCCAAAAGATGTCCAGGACGAGAGCCACGGAATGATCATTCGTCTAGCTAGCTAGATTCATGTTGTGTTTCTGTTTCTTGGTTGTGGTGTTATTATGGGCCAGCTCGCTGCTTGATTTTTGGCAGCACACGTCTACCGTACTGTGCGTAGCACCTGAATGCGTACTTATTGTTCAACAGGATCTATTATTATTATTTTGCATTGACTTGTGACGATGTACCATCATGTATATTGTCTTTACGATACGGTTGCTATCATGCCACCACCCCTTCCTTATTATTATTGTCATCCCTGATGGATGACAGCGTCTTGTCTTCATCATCGTCATCATTGTCATTGTCCAAGCACGATGGCAACAGTTCCACCCCGGCCGTTGCTTTCAAGGATTGGGATTCCGCTTTGCGTTGGGTTCGAAAATACAGCAGTACTCGAGCCAAACCGAGGAGTACAATGGCGGATAGAAAGGACCCCATCATGACATATTTCATGCAGGATACATGATAGAATTTGGCCCGGAAAAAGGGATCATCGACGACCAGACTTTGACAGGTCCCATCGCAGTTGGCAAACACATTGATGAGGTAGGGTGCGTCAAAGGGATCATTCAAGTACTCTTGTTGTGAATTGTCGTCGTCACCATTATCACCATTATCATTTTCATCATCATCTTGCTGTTGTTGTCCCATTCCCTGGGCACAGGAAAATCCCGACGATTGCCACAAATCATCTCCCTCCCAGAGTCTCCAGGTGGGTTTCAGACTACCATCACTGGCGTAGTATCCCGTCTTATCGTAGACATCGCACCAAAACAAATCGACCGATTGTTGGCACCATTCGTCTGGGTAGTCCGGACACGCCCAACTCCCCCCGTATCCGACAGTGAGAGTCGCTTTGCGGGCGACATTGTTGTAATTGAGATTGTCTCCCTGATACGATAGAATGGGTGCGGGACCGTGATAGTAGGACGATTCGTCCAAGGCGGGATTATCCCCTAGCAATGAGGCAATGGCGTATTTGCTCATGGCCAGTGTGGTGACAAAGAGACATAAAATGCCCAAAACACGACACGTTGTGGTGGCGGTAATCATGACTCGTTTGGTAGGCGTACAACTGCTATCATCCGTGTCGTAGTCATCTTCCAGTGATTGCGAAGAATAGTAGCAGGCAATGGTACCACCACACGTGAAATAGTCACTACTGCCGCCACAACCACTACCCAATTGTTGAAGTCGCTTGCAGTACCAATACGTCACGAGGAGAGCTGCCAGCGAGTAGACTCCCGCGGCAATGACCAGTGCCAGAATCACTGATTGGACTTGATCGACAGTACTAGTCTTCCATAGTAGGATTGTGGTGGTGGTCAAGAGTAACACTGTGGATCCCACCAGTATCCAAGGATGCTGTCGATGCAGCCATTGGCGACAATTACTGCCAGTGGTGGTCGATTGCTGTTGCTGTTCTTGTTGCTGGAGTTGTGATTGCTGCCACTTGGCTTGTTGATAAGTGCGATAGATGAGAAGACAGGCAATGGCAATGGACCCCACAACGCCCACAATGGCCACGGCGAGGAGTACACTGGTATTATTCATTGACAGCATCTTCTAATATATTGCTTGTTTCTGACTACTGACTAATGAGGCGACTATCACTAGCAGAGAACTCACTGGCTCGTGTGGTGTCATTTATTGTGTGACAGTGGTAGTGTGTACCGGTACCATCCTCATGCATAGAGTTCCGCATGGGTTCCGGCTATGCCATCGCATCGCCACTTCGCGGATGGAGCGTTGTGATGGTTTTGGTCGAAAAAATGAAGGTAAGAGGTGCTCGAAGCAGGATTGGGTCCAGTGAGTCGACCAATCCGAGGGAAGTTTCAAATCATCCAACATTAATAGCGTTAGAGATAGTTGCATGCCACCCGCACATGCACACGTCATTTTTAGACTGTAAAACACTTGAACACCAAAAGAAGAGAACACTCAAAAGAGCTCTCAAAAGATACCTGGTACCGGTACCCACCAGAACTGGCATGGAATTCAATCCAAAGAACGATCCTTCTTGGCTTCTTTTGTGATCCCAGCGAGCTTCTCGAAGCTGCCAAGCTCCTGCCAGCAAATCTCCCACACTTCCAAGTTTCCACTTTCCTTTCTTTCTACCATACCGGTATCTCATCTGTCGTCCCATTATCTATAGATATCATCATTAGCAACATCATGACAACAGAAGAAGAAGACTCCAAGAAACAAGTGACCATGAAGGAAGAGGAGGTGAAGGAAGAGAAGGAGGAGGACAAGACAGATCCTACCAACACAAAACGCCAGAAACGTCCCTTGGCGAAATCCTTGTCGTATCAATCTCCCTTGGTGGGTGAAATCAGTTTGGGCCGATCGTGGGAACGTCGCTGGCAGACGTTGTGCATGTTTTCCTGCAGTTTGGCATTTATCATGCCGAGTGTCGCCGTGACGTGGTTTTGGGTGCTCGTGGCCTTGGGCAATGCATGGTTCGACCGAAACAATCCCATTAGTCTGGGAATTGCTACAGCCATGGCCGTCTATTTGGGATTCAGTTTTGTAGTGGACACGTCTCCCACCACTGGATCTCGCACTCCCTATTTGCGGCAGTTACGGTGGTGGTGGAATCATTCTTGCGATTATTTGCCACTTTTGCTCGTCAAAACGGCCGAATTGCCCACCAACGACAACCAAAGTTATGTCTTGGGATATCATCCCCACGGAATCATTTCGGTGGGATGTTTTGGAGCATTTGCAACCGATGGAGCACGGACAATGGATTTGACGGGATCATCTACGGATGAAAATGACAATGACACAAAGGACGACAATCCAGATAATTCGGAAGCTCTCCGACGAGGATTTTCCTCGCTCTTTCCCGGTCTCGATCGACGCGTCATTACCCTGCCGCAAAATTTCACCACACCGTTTATGCGAGAATATTTCCTTCACATGGGAGCGTTGACATCCGACAAACAAACGTTTCGAAACGTCCTCGTCAAACCCAACACGGCTCTGATTGTCGTCGTCGGAGGCGCCGCCGAAAGTTTGGAAACCCACGAGGGATGCATGGAACTCGTCTTGGAACGACGACGAGGTTTTGTCCGGGAAGCAATCATGGCCAATGCCAGTTTGGTGCCCGTGATTGGATTTGGAGAAAACGATCTCTATCATATGCTGGACACGCACGGTCGTAGTTGGATTTCCAACTTGCAAACCGCCGTCAAGACGTACGTGGGATTTGCCATGCCCATTTTTGCCGGACGGAGTATGCTGTTGAAAGATTTCGGTATGATGCCCCAACGCAAACCCGTCGTGGTCGTTGTGGGAGCTCCCATTCCACCGCCTTCCAAGACGCAAAAATTTGATCCCCAAATTGATCGCAAAACCGACCAACCACTCAACGAGCACGGGAAAATCCTACAGGACCATCATGCCAAGTACATTGCCGCATTGGAAGACTTGCACGAAACCTACAAAAATGCCAAATGGAACAATCCGGGACGATCCAGACGGAGTTCCCTCAAAATTGTCAAGTAGGACGTCGTCGATCGTGGTGGCAAATACTCAAAAAAGGGAATGGAAAAACGAAGGAAAACAATAATGGAGTCTCCCTCCTTGTCACAGCAATAATCAAGCAGACAGTCTAAGATGAGAATCTTTTGGTACATGTTAGAAGCGCATGCCTTTTTATCGTTTTGACAGCATGCACGTTAGTTTCTTGAGAAATGAAATGCCAGAGTTTAGTTATTAGAAGTTGGTGGAGTTTGTGGTGGAATTGGAGGAGCTTGTGGTGGCATTCATCATAGTAGTAGTGCAATTGCATTCACAGCCACAGAGACTGTCTGTACAATCATAGACAATGTCAATATCATCCTGTGGTGCCTCACAAAGCTCTACTGGGAGGACCCCCGTGAGCAGTGGGTTGCTGGAAATGTTCCACAGGTGTAGAATGCTGGATGATGTGGTCAGATTGGCAACTTCTTGTGGTATGCTACCCTCAAAGTTGTTGTCGGAAAGGTCTAGTTCCCACAATTCCTGCCACTGACCAATTTCAGACGGGATCTTTCCGGAAAAAGAGTTGGATTGCACCAAGAACGTTGACATGTTGGTCATGAGGCCGAAACCGCTAGGAATTTGACCAGTGAAAGCCTGAAAGAGGAAGAGATGGAACAGGTGTTTCATCAGTATCTAGAGTTGGGTGAAGCACTCAGTCATCTGCAATGCAAGCATTCATGCCACGGTGAACTCACATTGGTGAACAGTCCTAGTGCTTCCATGCTGCTCAGCCCCATAATCTCATGAGGAATAGACCCCCACATGTTGTTGTTGCCAACGCTGAAGTATGCCAAGCTTGAACATAATCCAATCTCTGTGTTGATCTCACCAGACAACTCATTGTGCTGCAGCAGCAGATACCTTAGATCTGGGAGCAAACTAAACACAGTTGGAAGGGTGCCAGTGAGAGTGTTCCGCGTCAATGAAATGCCTGTTACATTCTTCATCAGGCCAACCTCCGTCGGTATTGTCCCTGTGAGGTGGTTGTCAAAGAGATACAGTTTCTTCAGGTGTGATGTGTTGGTCAACAGCTCTACTGGGATTGTCCCTGTCAATGCATTCTCTGCAATGTCCAGCTTAGTCAATCTTGAAAGGCTGCCCAGTTCGGAAGGAATTGGTCCCGCAATGGGGGTTCCCCATATCTGCAAGTTCTCCATAGAAGAAGATAGGAGCCCAAACTCACTTGGTAGAGTTCCAGACAGCGGGTTGGTATCCAAGTACATTTTCCATACTTTGTCCAACAAACCAATCTCTGTGGGAATGGTACCGGTGAAGCTATTTTCCTCCAGCAACATTTCTCCCAACTCTTGAAGCAAGCCCTGGAAGGTCAAAAGACCGGTTAGATACAGTTGACATGGATAGCAACAGCATTCTGGGTTGGACTTACAATTTCAGAAGGAATGGATCCACTTAGCTTGTTGGTGTAAAGCACAAGAAATGACAACTGGGTCAGCAGCCCCACCTCTGATGGAAGAGATCCTGCCAGATCCATGGACACAAGATTCAGTGACTGCAAGTTTGAGAGCCTTCCAACTTGGGAAGAGATTGTGCCTTCAATGGGGTTTGTCACCAAGGATAGACTCTGCAAGGATGTCAGCCAGTACAGTTCCAAAGGAAGGGTGCCCTTCAAGTTGTTGCTGATGAAATGTAGGTGTATGTACTTTTGCTGCTCCTCCTCCTCTGAGCTGCTTGAGGAGGTGTCATCATTATCATCATGACATGGTCCAGTGCTGTTCCCAGTTAGGTGATCCATCCACAACTCTGGCGTGTAATATGCTTCCTCCCAAACATGGTAGGATAAGCTGGACGAATGCCAGGCGCACTCGTGACTGCTGTAGCTTAACCAATTGGTATTGTTTAGCCACTCATCTCCGTGGGTGGCATAGTAGAGAGTGGCCAATGCGAGTCGCTGATGAACTCTCCATGTCGGATACGACAGGAGATTGGGATCGTCTAGGAGCCATGCATAGGCACTGGCTTGGGGTGTTTCTCCTTCCAAGATAGCATCCACTGTGTAGTGTGGCAGCAGAGCCATGATGGTTGCCTCCACGGTCATCGTTGGAGATTGTGTCGGGGGTGACGTGGGTTGAGCCGCCGTCTCCCCCAACTCATTGTCAGTTTCTGTGTTTTGCATCTTGACGCCAACTAGCACGAGGGCGACGGCAGAGAAGATGAGAAACGCCAAAAGACCTCCGAGACAAAGCCACTGGTTCCGTCTCTGCACATGTTCCTCCTCGACGACCCTTCTCTTTGTGTCGTCCATGGCTTCGGCGTACGGCAGTGTCAAGTCGCCGCCCATAAGAGTATTATGACTAACTGGGTTGGCCACTGCCAGATCCTGGTCCGCGGTGGACTCTTCCGTAATATCCTGATGATAGACAACACCATTAGTCTGGGGGGCGGCTGTGGTGGTGGAAGTAGCCGTCGTAACAGAGGTAGCAATACTGTTGGCGCTTCCTGAAAACGCTGCCGGTCTTCGTGTCGTTTGGACCGCATACGCTCCCGGGGGGTTGGCTGACACTCCTGGTGTATCTGCCTGTGATGAGGCTTTGGACGACGAAACTCCACTGGCAGCAGGCAAATCGCTCGTAGGAGTTGCATTGAGATTCGGCAAAGACGTCACGATGGAACTCAGTGCCGTACTATCATGAGAAGATGCTGCTGATGGAACACCACCACCATTGGGAGAAGGCAATGGTTGTATGTCACTGAGAACCGCTTCCTTGTTAGCCACAACGGCGGAGAGTACGCCATCCGCGCTGGCATTATTTGGGGTGGCAGCCATGGGAGCAGTGGCAGCGACACTGCCAGGGGCCGCCAACTTGGCATCCAAATCATCCATCATCCTAGTAGCAGCGGTGGCGGCCAGGGAAACAGTAGCAGCGGTGGCTGTAGGAGTGTGAGCAGGGTTTCTGCCAGTGGCCGCCAACTTGGCATCCATTTCATTCATCATCCTAGTTGCAACTATGGCTGTAGGAGTGCGAGCATCAGAGGTTCTGCCACTAGCTTCCAACTTGGCATCTACTTCTGCATCCATCATCCTGCAAGTGGCTTCGAGGTGCTCTCGTCTACTACCTTCTGCAGACTCGTCCGAGTCCTCGGCGGCCTCAGCATCACCGCGAATGTCATCGCTAGCTCTTATCTCTGCTTCTGCTCCGTTCCCATTGTCTTCGGCACTGGTGCTTGCAGCGGCGGCTGCGACAGGAGAGCGAGCAGCAGAGGTCCCGTTTCTGTTTCTGCTACCGGTACAGGCGGTAGCCACCAACTTGGCATCCAATTCACCCATCATCCTAGTAGCAGCGGTAGTTGTAGGAGTGCTTTTAGCAGCGGTAGCTGTAGGAGTGCGAGCATCAGAGGTTCTGCCACTAGCTTGCAACTTGGCATCCACTTCTTCATCCATCCTCCTACACACGGTTTCGAGGTGCTCATGTCTACTACCTTCTTCAGACCCGTCCGAGGCCTGGACAGCCTCAGCATCATCCCTAGCTCTGATCTCTTCTTCTTCTCCGTTCCCATTGTCACCTTGATGAGCGACAGAGTCACTCGTCATTTCATCAACTAGGTTGTCGTGGGCTCCAAAATCTGGCTCTCGCGCCTCAGAAGACGACATCTTTGCAGCTTCTTGGTCAATCCCTTTACTGTTCGTCTATCCTTGATCGCTTTCCCGAAAACTAATTGTGTGCACGTTGACTGTACGACTAGCTACCACCGGTAGCTACGGTAGGTACCAGGTAGCTATGCTAATCAAGCACAAGGCCGTAATCAGTCTGAGTGTTTGCAATGGCGTTGGTTTATTGGTTTGTAGCTAAGGCTTTACTATCTCTGACGCGCCCACCGCCTAATGAGTACTTGGTCCGAGTCGGTCGGCAATAACTAAGTAGCTTTGTCTCTTGGCCACTGACAGGCCGTAAGTACTGGACCATCTGCGAACCGAAAGATTACGGTACAGCCAATCATGGTTGCGGAACATTCGGTTGGAAACTTCGCCTCTAATGGAAACAACTAACTCGTGCTGTCTATCTCGTCCATCTTGAGAAAGCGTCTTGAATGCGATACGACAGGAAATAATGGCATCACGCCTGCTGTGTCTTTGTTCCATTTAGGCATCAGATTCTTCAACAAATCCAAGGACATCCTCGCAGCTTCCAGCTTCTTCTTTCGTAGTAGGCCAACAAAGGAAATAGGAGCTGGGAAGCATGCTTGAGGATCCTTAAACCTCTTGGAATCATGGTGGTCAGCGAATTCCTACTACTCAGTACTCGGTAGCTAGCCACTGAAACCCACTTGACGCTCCACTCAACTGCTACTTGCCATCCAGTTCTCCTATTATTAACAGGTCTACTGTCTACTGATTACCTTCGAACAAGGACATTCTTCACATTGTTCTCACTCCAACAACTCTCCAACAATGGATGTGCTCTTCAGTCATGTCCAATGGCAACGGTTAACAGGAACAGCAAACAGCAAAGCAAAAAGCAAGGCAACGGCGGCCTTTGTCCTTCTAGCTAGAGTTGGGCTCCCCTAAGCTGGCACAGCTACAGTACTGAGTAGTAGTTAGGAGTCCCAGTCGCGCCAAGGCCTACTGTATAGCTTTTTCAACTTAGGACTCGGAGTGCATCATTATTAAATTTTGTACAGCACTCTTCAAATAATGCCTAATAATGAGCTGCCTAATGGCAAAAGGAAGAGCAGGAAGCAAGGCAACGGCGAACGGCGGCTATCGGATTACGCGGTAGACTAGATCTAGTCTATGGACTATGGAAGCATTGTTTTGAGGGCATTAAATTTTTGGAAGGTCCCCGCACCCCACAGAGAGTTGGCTCCTCCTACTAGCTAGGCAATTAGGAGTCCCAGTAACGCCAAGGCCTACTCTGTGCTTTTACAACCTTCTGGTGCTTTTACGCACTCGGGCACTTGCCCAGTGCGTGCCGAGATGCCCTCTCGAGCAAGCCAAATTCGAAGTCTCCGTATGTATGTGTTCCTTTTTCATATGACGTTGGTCCATACCGCCATACGGTACCGGCATGCTACTAGTACCTATTGCTCCTCTTACCCTGACCCCTGACCTCCTACCGGTGGCTACGGCAGTAGTGTCTAGCTAGAGCCTCTCGACAGCTTCGCTTTTGAGTTCTACCAGGTAACTAAGGCAGGCCGTGCAGTGTGCGTACCGATGTAGTACCGGTACAACTGTACTGCGAGACTGAGGTTTCCACGTTCCTCGTTTGCGAAAACAGCTGGAGTTAGCAAAATCTAACGAACAGCATCGAAGCCTTCTCGAGTTCTCCTTCCCTTGTTTCAAGTTTCAAGTTCAAGAGAAGTTCTGCTTCACGCAGGGGGTAACCGGTAAGGCTACAAACATGCTTGTGAGCCGTGTTTCTTGCTTTGCTGTATGATACTGTACCGCATACATCATGTACTAGGTCTAGTATAGCTCCTCCTGGACATCTACCTAAGCTACTACAGTAGTTAATCCATCCGCATCCTCAAGTGATGCTTGGCTACAAGAGCGGCAATCGAGCCACCGACTATTCCATCCACAATCATATATATATTATCAGCGACCTTGAAACATGGATTTTCATGAAACTGAGAAAAGAACAAAGAAATCTTCTTCCGAGAAGGATAGTGGTCAAAGAGGAGCAAGGGAGTCTGCAGATGATCTTGGAGGTCTGCCAGTGGCTGCACAAGAAATTTGTTTTCGTCCGGCTTTTGACGGGGAAAAGTTGGACGACACTGAAGTACATGTAGTAGGTGACAATCTAACGGGAGCTCAGGAGCACTTTCAAGAGGCAGAAGTGGACTCGGATCATCCCGGCAGCAACGCATTCAAGGAGCAGTTGCGAAACAATTATGGACAAGCCCCAATGGCAAAAACCCAGAGATGGGAAAACACGACCTCGTGGAACAGCAGTTCCGTAATGGTTGGAATGACAGATGGAAGGGACATGGATTCGTTGAGTCCTCAACAAATAAATGGCATTGTCGCCAGGGACACTATTGCGAACCAGGCTTTGATGGATGTGCAACCATTGCCCTCTCCGCAATCCACCGGACCAACCAGAAATCAAACAGCTTCCAGACCTGGAGCATATGCCGTCGTGCCCCCCACACAGATCACTCCAGCTTCTCCGGAGTTTATCCCGGCGACGAGCAGCAACTGCTCTCACGACACATGGGCTTTCGAAGACACTGAGAGTGGTATAGCGGTTGCCAATCTTGTACCTGATGACGAGATACCCCAAAACTTGCCACGGGCAGAAGAAATGAAACGCACCGTTTCCACCAGAGCAAGGACGCCCTTCAACAAGAAGCGAACCTACTTGGCATGCATGGTTCTCATCTTTCTCGTTGTCATTGCAGTGACGGTCGTGGCGAGTCGGTTAAAAAATGCGTCCAAGAATGCTACCAAACATATTGCCAGCGTTGTCCCCACAGAGACTCCTATTACCGACATGTACCCACAGCAGGAGGACTCCATTTTACTTCTTCTGCCGAACTATACAGTGGAGGCTATCAGAAGGCCTGATTCACCGCAAGCTATGGCATTTTCTTGGCTTATGGGAGACCCCAATCTGACACTGTATGCTCCATGGCAAATCACACAGAGGTTGGCCTTGGCTACACTATACCACGCAACAAAAGGAGACTCATGGACAAACAATACAAACTGGCTGAGCTATCAACATCATGAGTGTGAATGGCACTCATCAACCAATGGAGTGGAGGCACTAAAAGCTCTGCACACTGGCTTTGCGGTTCCATCTGAGGCTGTTTGTGGCACAGTGGAAGAACTACTCATCAATGGGAGGGCCTGCCTGGGACAGGCAATGCATGATTGGGGAGACCCCACCAATGGCAGTATCACAAGCCTCAGACTCTTTCAGAACAACTTGCAGGGCTCGCTTCCCGAAGAGCTGTACCTGATCACAACCTTGGAATCAATCCTTCTGTTCTCAAACCCACTCACCAGTACAATTTCATCAAATATTGAAAACCTAAAAGACCTGGAAGTGCTTTACATTCCAGTTTCAGGGCTCTCTGGAAGCATACCAACTGAGGTTGGAGTGCTTTCCAATATGCACACTATTGAGCTTTTTGCCGGCTATCTCACAGGGGAAATTCCCACTGAAATTGTGAGTATAGATGTTTGTCAAAACACTTGCTTGTATGTTCCAAACTCATCCTGTCATTATTCTTGTGGTCTTTGCAGGGCTTGCTTGACAGTCTAGAGAGACTGGTGCTTGATAACAACAACATGACAAGCACTGTACCAACAGAACTTGCCGAGTTACAATCCTTGCACACGATGTACTTGGACACTAACAATCTTTCTGGTACACTTCCAACTGAGCTGGGTTTGCTTTCTAACTTGTATGATCTCCAGATCCATAACACTGGGATCTCAGGGACAATTCCTATTGAGTATTTCAACTTGCCTCAACTGGGGAAGCTACGACTGGGGAAAAATTTGTTGACAGGTGTGATAGCCACAGAGATAGGCATCTCTCAGAGTTTATGGTACATTGACCTGTGGGATAATTTGCTGACAGGACCAATTCCTACTGAGACTGGACTGTTGCAAAAGCTTAGGTTTTGGGATACAGAGATCAATCAAATGACAGGCACACTTCCCAGTGAATTTGGAGCCTTGGAACACAATCTGACTTGGCTCTTTGTTGCTGATAACAACCTGCATGGGCGTGTCCCTACAGAACTTGGTCGTTGCACTCACATGGAGAGGCTCTGGTTACATGATAATGATTTGTATGGTGACCTCTTCTTGGATATTACTCAACACATGAAAAATCTGTCAGACTTGTCAGTCACAAGCAATGTGAGTCCAACCCTGCATTGAACAATGACATTTGTAAAGTCACACTAACCATCTTCTCCCTTCTAGTCATTTTCAGGTTCCATTCCAAGCCAAGTTGGCATCTTGACCAACCTGATTCATTTTGAAGCTGGTTCAAATTCATTTGACGGAGAGATACCATCTGAACTTGGGAACTTGATAAATATGAGGTGGCTGGACCTAACAGACAACATCATCCAAGGAACCCTTCCACAGGAGATTCTCAACTTGACTCTTGCAGGATCTCTGGAGTTCTTGCACCTGGCTGGCAATCCACTGCTTGCTGGCACCATCCCTAGCATGGTTTGTGAGCCACCAAACAAGGCATATGTAGAGGTGCTGTTTGACTGCACAGAGATACTTTGTGGCTGTCACTGCTCTTGCAATTCAACCACTGCAACTCCTGTAGCAAATCTAACAATATAACGACGGAATACATACGTATGCAAGCCTTCAGAAGCAGTGGCAGGCAGTGGCAGCAAGTGGCATTGGCTATAACCAGCTAGCTCTTGCACTCTATGATGCTATCTCCCGATGCCAGTGAGATGCATTGCTCCCAGTAATTTGCATCTTGTGAGGGTTGCGTTGATGTCAGACCCTCGATGCAATTCTGGAATTGATTGAATTCTAGATTCTGAGAAGTAGTTACTTGCGTGTGTGGCGGGCAAGTACGATACTTACCTTCACAGCTCGGTCAACTATATAGCTAGCCGTGTCGAGGGAAAACGAATCATTTCTCTCTCCGGCGTCATTCCGGAACCGCTATGCGACACAGAGCGATTGGTGGATTGACACTGTGTGATTTTGTCATCAATAATTGCGAGCGCAATGGGTTCTGGAATATCATGGCCGTGGATGCAACGTGATAGCTCTTGGTTGTACTCGCACTTCCTTCCGCCCTACACTGTTGGACGGTGTCGCTACACAGTTTTTTTGAAAACGATACTTTTTACTGATTCCAAGTACTAGTAATTACACATTTAATAATTAAAAGAGATCCAACACGGGTGGAGGAGGCAGCGATTGATCATGACTGCACAGCGCTCCAATGGTGGGTGACACCCAGTAGAGTCGGACCAGTTCGGGCATGTCAATTTCGTCTCCCAATGTCGTCTTGGAAGACTGCGACGGTGTCTTCCAGATGCGTTCAACGTATTTGGTCAGGTTGGGATAGTCGGACTGAATGGTCTTTGACGACGAAAGAATCCCAAAGATGCGACCGTAGACATTGTCGAATCGAATGAGCGTGATCCAGAGAATGCAATCCGGCAGTGAAATATGTTCTCCCAGAAGATACGGTTGGGTCCCCAACAAGCTCTCGTACTTGTCCAGCGTAGCCTCCAATTGGTCGACAATGTCTTGTTTTTGCGTGGCATCCTTGGTCATGAGATATTTGTACGGCAGCATGGTGATGTTGGCCAATTCCTGGGCCAAATCGGTGGCGCCCTCGGGCAATAATGTTTTGCTATTGTCGCTTTGCGCCATGGCCACGGCGATGTCCAAGGATTCGTTGTGGACCATTTGTTTAGTCGTCTGATCAATGACCAAGGGAGTGGAGAATCGGCCACTGTAGTCCGGAGCGGCAGACTGCTGGTACACCTGCTTAAGTGTGGTGGCAGAAAACACGGGTTCCGGTGGATCAAAGACGTACATTTTGTCGTCGGCATTCTGATCTTTGGCAAACGAAACTTCCATGGCGTCTTCAGCCGCCAGCAATCGCAGCAGTCGCACTCGATGAGCAAACGGACACGCTTTGAACGCGTACAGACGGTACCGATTCGGTTGGTCGAGACCGATGGAGAGCGTAGCGGTAGCGTCGGTCATTTTGAATAAGCCCTCTTTCGCCGTTTCTTCAGACCTGACAATGGTGGTGCCCTTGCGTAATCTGTTCTCGACACCGTTGCTCCTGAGCTAGCTAGAGAGAGAGAGAGGGAGAGAGAGACTGTCACTCGGCTCGTTGCCAGATTGCTGTGTCAACAACCTCTCCTTTGTGAGGAGTGGCCGCAAATCTTTTGGCTCTTTGGTTGGTGCTGCCCTCACCGTGGTGCCAGTCTTTGGGTTCCTAAGGTTGGAGATTTGGAGGACCAACTCTATCCACGGCTGAAAGATTCTAGAGCGCGTCGATGTGCACTTGGTCACTTTCCAGTTGACTCTTCATTGCCTTCGTTGAGGGAAAGTGTTCTTTTAACTACTAGCTAGAGTACTACCAGTAGCTAGCTACATGTACCGGTATTTTATTGCTAATTAGCTATGCATACATGTACCGATCTCAGACAGCAAAGACACCACATAGTTCCCTCCAAGCCATAGTAACCACTCCTCTACTGTGTAAAGATACCACACATGGAACCTCCAAGGCCGGCACTGAGGCCCAACCCAAGAAGCCCCAAATAGGGTCCAAATTCAGATATAGTCAAACCATTGGCTCCAATGCCTATAGAATAAGAAAAAGGAAGAAACAGAACAGGAAGATCAATCTCGGCCATCCAATACACACAGGGAACTGCAGCCGCGTCATTGGTAGACACAGTTCCAGAAGTGAAAGAAAAAGCTGCACCTAAATGAAGCCCGCCAAGACAGATGCGTCCCCATTCCGATACAACGTTAGTAGTATAATTGGTGGAACGCATTAGGGTGTAGGAAGCATCCAAGGCCAGGCCACCTTCAAAATGCATGCCATCATAATATGTGATGACTTCATCCTGTTTGTTTGTTGCGTTTGTGTTTGTGTTTGCTTGCCTGCTCACAACAGCAGGTGTAACAGTAGCAGTGCACTTTTGTAAGATTCCTTGCATTGCTAGCATTGGTTCTGGATGGCTTTGCATAGCTTGCCTCAAGGCAGTCGGGTTGGCAGCAGCGGCCACTGTGCGAAACTGCTCCCGAAGGGACAGTAATGAAGACGCTTCTTCTTCTGGCAAACCCAATCTTGAGTTTTCCAAGATTTCTGTTTCGTTGATCCCTGCTTTTGCAAAAATGGTGGTCTGGAATGCTTCCATATCATAATCCTGTTGAAAGAGCTCCATTTCCTGTGCAATGCAGCTCACTGGGGCACAGCGTTTGCCAAGAGGAATCCCCAAATTGGTGCAATCCAGGTTGGGTAGGCAGGGATTCTGTTCCTCATCATTGCAGCGTGCTCCAAAAGAGCCACGAACCCGGCGCCTGTCACCTTCTTCGAGCTTGCGAAGGAAGTGATGTCTGTCCTGGTCTGCTTGCTCCAGAGAAGTCAACAAATCTCTCTCTCTGTGAGCATGCAAGTCATGATTTATTCTTGCTACTGTCGTGGCAAAGGAGAGGCTCCATAGGAGAAGAACTTGAAGGCGACAGATGGGCACCATCGCATGCATGTATACAGCAATCTCTATCCAATAATTGAAGAAATGAGCTGTTACTGCATTGACCGTACACGTACCGGTACCAGTATGGGATTGTTTCTCGGGATGCGCACCTCTTTTATTAATCCTAACGGATTTCCATTTAGGTCTCATCCGGCTGGGCTCGCTCCCGTTCCAGTTCGCCAACAGTTGTCATAAGTCCGTGCCTCTACAGAAGGAAAGGTTACCCTTCGTTTAGACAACCAGCCAATAGGCCAGCAACAAGTCCAATTTTCCATCTTCTGGTGCAACAAATAGCCATAGGACTTTTAATAGCAGAGCAGTGTGTTCTCCACGCCGTTGCTGCTGAGCTAGCTCTAGCTAGCAAGCTATAGAGAGAGAGACTCGACTCGACTCGTCACTCGACTTGTTGCCAAGAGCCGTCACTAAAATTGGCTGTTTTCGAGCTTGCAACCTCTCCTTGGCTGACGAGGATCTTTGGGGCCCTCAACCCTTTATGTGGCCAGTCTTTGGAGTACGCTAGCTTTGGAAAATCTCTATCCACGACTGAACTGTCTACGTCGATCTGCACTTTCACACTTTCTAGCCAATGAGCTACCGTCGTTCTCTCTGGGATGCCGATGGTGCACTTGCACTCTTCCGCTAATTTTGCTCCTTTGTCCTTCCTGGTTTTCCTCCATGCACCCCCTTCCCTGCCCCCCTTGCTTTGCCCTGCTCGCGTCCTCATTGCTCTCCCCGTGTGCCCACCACACCAGCCACCCACCACCGCAGCCACTGCTTTGCCTAGCCTCGCCCCCCTCGCTCCTTAACGTATCTATTTAGTATTTATTTCTTCTCCTTTCTAGCCAGTTGTCTCTAGCTAGAATTCTATTTTTATTTTAAAAGGCTACTCTGAGTAGGACTTGTCCACCATGCAGCTACCCTAACATAAACCAATAACCCCCACAAACATTGGGGCGGAGAGATTGTTGGAGGGTTCTTTAGAGTACCGTAGGGAAGTTAGCTACATGTACCGATCTCAGACAGCAAAGACACCACACATGGAACCTCCAAGGCCGACACTGAGGCCAAACCCAAGAAGACCCAGTTCAGCCATAGTCAAACCATTGGCTCCAATGCCTATGGAATAAGAAAAAGGGAGTACCAGAAGAGGAAGATCAATCTCGGCCCACCAATAAACACAGGGAACTGCAGCCGGGTCATTGGTAGGGACACTTCCAAAAGTGATTGCAAAAGCTGCACCTAAGTGAAGCCCACCAAGACAGATGCGTCCCCATTGAATCTCATCGGCATTGGTGGAAGCCATTTGAGTGTAGGAAGCATCCAAGGCCAGGCCACCTTCAAAATGCAAGCCACCGTATGCGATGACATCATCCTGTTTGTCTGTTGTGTTTGTGCTTGTGCTTGCTTGCCTGCTCACAACAGCAGGCGTAGCAGCAGTGCACTTTTGTAAGATTCCTTGCATTGCTAGCATTGGTTCTGGATGGCTTTGCATTGCTTGCCTCAAGGCAGTCGGGTTGGCAGCAGCGCCCACTGTGCGAAACCGCTCCCGAAGGGACAGTAATGAAGACCCTTCTTCTTCTGGCAAACCCAATTTTGAGGTTTCCAAGATTTCTGTTTCACTGATCCCCGCTTCTGCAAAGATGGTGGTCTGGAATGCTTCCATATCATAATCCTGTTGAAAAGAGCTCCATTTCCTGTGCAATGCAGCTCACTGGGGCACAGCGTTTGCCAAGAGGAACCCCCAAATTGGTGCAATCCAGGTTGGGAAGGCAGGGATTCTGTTCCTCATCATCACAGCGTGCTCCAAAAGAGCCACGAACCCGGCGCCTGTCACCTTCTTCGAGCTTGCGAAGGAACTGATGTCTGTCCTGGTCTGCTTGCTCCAGAGAAGTCAACAAATCTCTCTCTCTGTGAGCATGCAAGTCATCGTTTATTCTTGCTACTGTCGTGGTAATGGAGAGGCTACATAGGAGAAGCACTTGAAGGCGAACGATGGGCACCATTGCAAGGATGTACTGTACCGATACAGCAACTTGAATCTTTATCCAAAAGTTGAAGTAATGAGCTGTGACTGCGGCACGGGTGACCGTACTGGTATGGTACAGTCGTACTGCATTGTTTTGATTCTCGGGATGCGCACCTTGTTTTTAATCAGGATCTCTTTGCGCACCGGTTGCCTAAACGATGGTGCCCATCCGAGGTGCGCTTCACCATGAAACTGCATGAGTGAGTATGGAGTCCACCAAAAATCGAAACTCAACCCACAAAAGAACAGCAGAACAGCAAACTGGTCTGGCAACACTATAATAACCACCCCCACGTTCCGATTGCACGAAAACGCAACAACATCACGGCTGTAGCTGTATCTACATGTCGGTCAAGTACAACAGTATGGTCAAGGAACAAAACCTCCAAGATGCTCGTCAGGAACTAGCTCAAATCTTCCAGTACGAGCAGGATGACCTCTGTGAAGACGACAGTTCCGCCAGTAAACAAGCGCTGCGATTGCTGCTGGCATATCCCGAGTTGGCATCCGAAGAGTTTGAAGCAGATGAAGAAGTCGCATTCAAGCTCTTGCCTTTGAGTATCTTTATTACCAGTGGAGCTGGGATTCAAGTCATTGAAGCAGTCGAACAGCTCTATCCGCAGGCCGTTTCGACCAAGCACCCGGAACTCAAGTTCTTTGTAAGGAATCCTTCGTTCGATTATCGAACCAACTACGCAACTCACGTATGTCTTTTCTCTTCGTTTTGCTGTGAACACATGCATAGCCACTGCAAGCTGCTTGCGAGGTCCATGCGGATGGAGATGTCATCGAGTTCTTGGCAAACAAGTATCCCATGGCCGTCGAGGCACGGGACAACAAAGGCGATTTGATCATCCATTCTGTTCTCAGCCAAGGCAAAGACGCCATCCCTCGTCGCAAAACTGTGGAGCGGCTGCTTGACTTGTACCCGGAAAGTCTTCGACAACCCAACCATGAAGGCGTATGCCCCTTGGGAATTGCCTTTCGAGCGCGACAGAGTTCCAAGATTATAGATAGAATCATCGAGAAACGACTGGAAGAAGGGATCCACTCCTTTGAAATGATTGGCTGGAAGGACTTTGAGCTCAATGCCAAGGAAGTGTCTCGTTTCGGAGTGGAGCTTTTCCCCAAACTCGATTTGAAAGCACTTTGGTGTGAGCCCGATTCCTACGGCGACGATGGATTTGCCTACTTGATGGAGTATCTCATGGGGGATCGAACCATTGAAAAACTGTCCTTGTCATTCCCACCACTCGACGGCCGTGGCAAGGGAGCTGCTCTTTTGAACTTTTTCCGAAACAACATTACCGTGCGGCATCTATCCTTGTCGCGAAACGTTGCCATGTGGAGTCAAGCCAACGGAATGGACTATTTGTTGCAGGGCATGGGCTACAACCCGGCCATTCTGTCGCTGCAGCTATCAGGTCTCTTTCTTATGTCTAGCTTTGAACTGGGATACCTGATTTCCAGATCACCCAAGAAGCTCATTCTCAACAACGTCATGGTGTCCAGCAAGTGGGCAACGGCGAACGTAAAGCAGTGGGGGACATCCATGGTGACTGACCTGACGTTACGGAACTGCAAAATGAGGGGCAAGTGCCTCGACAAATTCTTGGATGGACTCAAGAATCTTCCCGCGCTCAAGAGGCTGACCCTTGACTTCACCATGCCAGAAGACAAGCACGACGAGAAGTACCTCAAGGGCCGTGACATTACAAAACCAATCCTATCGTTACTCAAGAATGGAAACCTCGAAGGGTTGATTCTGCAAGGTCTCACAATGGACATTCGCAAGTTGTCTGTCAAGTTGAACAAGGACACTACTTTGAAGAAGCTACGCATTGACTCTTTACGAAGTGAACTATCCATGACTGTCGGGTGTCTTGTCGGCGCCCTGATCAATGACAACAGGACACTGGAAGATATCAAGTTTCACTGCGACTACGACTACGAAAAGACACAACCAGCACTGGATGGTAGTGATGTGGCAGTGCCGAGGTTCGAAATTGTGGAAGATCCGGCGATCAAGTACTACACGACAAGGAACCGCACCGGAAAGAAGGGAGGCAAGGCGGCACCAAAGATCCAGAGCGTCAATACTTTCGCCGAGAAACCACGCTCCAAACGAGGCGAGTCAATAATATACAGCGCCCTGACGTACTAGGAGCCACACAGGCCCTCGCGTAATGCTGATTTGTGCACTTGTTGCACTTGTTGGTTTTGCAGGTTCGGTTGGACGAGAACTCATGCGGTAGAACGTAGAAAGCTTGTAGCTTGATGTATTTTTTAGTAACCTGATGCACTTCAATTTCGAGGTTCTTGCAATCAACTATTTCACACACACCACGGTTGTGGGTTCTCCATCCTTGTTTCTGGCATGGCTAAAAAATGATCAAAGCCGTCGTGCTTCCGTTGCCGCCATGCATACCATTCTGCCGTGCATGCCATGTCTCGCGCACACGTACCATCCTCGGCTGTAATGTAATAACGAGACTTATCGGAAACCAGCAATGGCTCCCTTGCTTGATATAATGGCTCCTCTGCAATTGTTTTCTGCCCCTCCAAGTGAGTTTCCATTGTATTCCGCTTCACCTGAAAAGTAAGGAATTACGGGGCAGCTTGCCGTTGCCGTGCCATCACATTGAGTTGTGTATGTGTCACAGTTGTAGGCCATTATCGTTCGGAACTGCCCAGGAACACGGTACCCAAAGTTTGTGTCGCAGCTAGTGCAGGCATCACTTGGGCATTGTTGAGTCGACGATGTTCCCCTATCGTGCTGCGAGCGGTAAGTGAAACGAAAGTTGGCATGAGCCTAAAACCTACAGCAGGAGCGACATATCTTGCATGGCAGAGCACAACCAAAAGGAAGCCTTCACTTACTCTACATCCCATATTGTGGCCAAACTCTTTCACGCAAGAAAAACGGACCCATAAGTGAACTCACAACGAAATAGTCAAGAAAGGCAATCAATGCTTTCGTACCATGGGCAGGGACGTAACCGCTGTTAGTACAGGCGGCATCATTGACAGAGAACCCGTAACATGCGTTAAACTGACAGCAGGAGCCAATCCATGCAATCCCACAAACTGCGCTACTCGATAGATTGATGGTGTCAGCAATAAGAGTTACCAAGTCCGCCTTGTAGTCATTCCTGCAAACGCAATGAGGGAAGCGTGCTACGGATAAGATTCCGCCCAGCAGATAGAAGACACGTTGCCCTCAGAGGCTCAGAAAACTCACCTCAACCCATGGATGTATCCTAGTTGGCAATGACAAGTGTCCGTGAGATCGCAGAGAATACATGAAGCGTCTGCTGTCTCTCGATATCCCGACGTATCCCTCTGCTGGTGAACCACATTGAAGGTGATGCCTGTGCCTGAGTTCGAATGTACCGTATTCGTTTCAACGACCCACATTGCAATGTCGGCTTCCATGTTGGCCAATGTAGTGTCTGTGAGGGAACAATCCACTGATTGTGATGAAACTGCGCATTCCGCATTGGGTGTCCAGATCACCATGATGTCCACTGTTACGGCATTCCTGGCCATCTCCTCTTGAGATTTTGTCAGGGACTGGAGTTTCCAGCCGACACTTTTCGCAACCCCCGTTGCTACACCCCATGGATTTCTGGCAAATGTAACAATCTGACTCCATATGGGCACTCTCGAGTCACCTACAGGGGGCAAATCTCCTGACCTAATTTTGGTGACAGTATCTTCACCTTGTCCGTCGGGCTTGATTTGATAAGAAATGTCATTGGCTAGGTCATGCACAACTCCTCGAATCACAACGATTCCAGTTGAGGGATGAATGTAGTTCAAAAGCCGTCCTGACACCATTCTATCTGGGGACAACCCTGACCAATAACCTAAGACAGGATCACTCTTCTGGATGCTGTGGATTGTCCATACTGGAAGGTCATCCATCAACTGCATTGTCAATGTGTCCTTTTCGTAGAAGGGCACCTCAGTGCGAAGCTCAGACAAATCCACCAAGCTTGCTGTTGTATTTACCTTATTTGTTGCATTGACGTCATTTGCTGCATTCTGGTAGACTTCGGATACGGGCTTGATATCCTGAGCATTGGTCCAGGACGTGAAGAAGAGTCCCAGAGAAACGAAGTAGTAGTGGGCAAGCCTCATTGTCTTCAATTCCATACTCTAGGCCCGTTGGTTTCAATACAAAGTGATACCACCTGTGCAGGCAGTCTTTATACGGTAGTGTTGGATGGAATGAAAGGATTCTTCAGCTTCAGGGGCGTTGGAAGCAAGGAGTGATGCGCCATGGTATCGCTCATGTGTAATTTAGAATTCTTGGATCGATAGTGCCAATCGTGGATACTGTGGTGACTACCGGCACATCCAACGGAAGAGAGCCCGTCTGGTATTGTACGTATTAATAGCACGGTCGCAATAAGCGCGACGCATTCATGTTCCGGTCTCGTGGGCTGGTCTTTCGGGGCCTTTGGGCCCAGAGTAGACTACAGTATGGAGCATGTCACCACTTCGAAGACGCCCGTCGAGTCAAGGGATGAAATAATGTACATGTTATGCTTTGAACTGCCTTTTTGATATCGCGGCATCCTTCTTTCGCGACAGCGACCGATACGATCTGGAATGTAGATATTCCAGTGCTCGCCTTTTTTCTCAAGAGATGGGAAGATACGATAACCAGTGTTGTAGATCAGCACAGTCTCCCATTTGCAGGTCTCAAGAAACCGTTTGAGCAACGTTGGCCAGTTGACCCGGATGTATTGAAGAACGCCGAGTTCGAGTTCGATGTCCGCACAAAGTGTCAAAACACGACAAGGATGCGCTTTCGGTCTTGCGGCCGCTCTGGGCCAATTCGCATCGCTGGAATTGGTTCCTTGCACGGAAGCAGGTTTTTGGTGCAAACCTCTACTAGTATAGGGCAACACCTGGCAGGGGGGCCTCAAGCGTCGAGATTTGCTTTGAGCGAGAGCATGTTGACTGCTCGACGTTTCCGTCCTTTGAGGTGAAGATTGCCGTGTAAAGAAGCATTCGCTGGTGTACCGGTATCGAACTGTCGATACTTGGCTACGTCCGCTGTGAACCACGTACCAGAGTCGAGTCTCTCCGCAACAACTCTTCTGTGTCCATTCTTTAAACGTGAGAAGCAGCCAAGCAGCCAAACAGCCTCGCGACGCTACGAGAGGCTAACTTCGAGCCACTACCGCACAGACGATGCCAATTGAGACCTTCTTGTCCGTCTCGCAACTGAACTAGATTTGTCCGATGTAAAGCCTTTCGTCGCGGAAGCCACCGTCGCGAAAGCAGCAGGAGATGGAATGACATGGTCCAATTTGGCCGATAATGAAGGCAAAGGGTCGAGGTGCCCCTGGAGGCCAACCCGAATATGAGTTGACACTCTTCCTAGATAGAAAGATGATGGTTTTTGCTTTTACCTTCTCTTTTCCAACCCCAGGAGAACGACAAATCTAGCTATGAAGTTGCCACCTCCCAAGGGACACGGACGACGCAGCTTCCTCCTTCAGAAGGCAAATCGCACCTTTGTTGTCTCGGCAAAATGGGACGCAACTTTCGTGAATGTCCACTGACAGTATCTACCCTATTAAACTGGCTCTAATCGTCATCCAAAGAAAACCTCCGTTCGCACTCGTATCGGATTTTCAACGCCTCGCATAGTTTGGCATAGGTCCTCTGAGAGGCGGCAGCTTTGTCTGGGAGCATGTAGAATTGGTCCAATCTCCCTCCAGCAAATTGGCAGCCTACTTTCCATCCACCAGAAAGCTCATCGGGAACAAGTCTCCTTGCCATGGAAACCACAATATTCAACATGGAGGGGGTGTTGAAGAATCGTGTTTGTTGTATGTGGGAAGGAAAGGAGCCGTGACTCTCATCTGAAATCTTGCCAAACATTTTCAAGTCTGCCATATCCATTTTCCAATCGTAACCTGTAGGAGAATTAAAGAAATTAAGGAGGAGCCAAAAGTTTATGTTTGATCAGCCAGAAAAATCGAAAAGAAATTTCCTACCTGCACATTCGAATATGTGGACATTCCCAACTCGAATGGATTCAAAACTTGGAAATGTGGCATGGCAGATATAGTAGCAACCCCTAATTTTAGCCGCCACATTCTCTGGTTTTCTCCAGGCTTTCTTGCCCATTTTGGTAAAATCCATAACCAATTCAACATTTCCATCATGTGGATTGAAACTGAACCCCATGTGATAATCAGGATAAAGTTGAAAGGACTCCAGGATGGCTCTCACACCTTCCTCATAGGAGCCTCGAATTTTATATTCCTCCCTAACGGCTTGCAATTTGTAGGCTCTCTCCACAGCCCATTCGATATCACCTTTGCCGGCAATGGCCAAATTAGCATACATAAAGTCTGTCAGATTATCGAGATCGGGAAGTCCTTCAATGGCATCCTTGACGCCAAAAGCCCAATCTTGTTCTTCTTCAGAGAGCCAAAGGCTGGGAGGATCAGAGAGTTTCTGCGGCAGCTGCGGTTCTTGATGCGGTGGAGCCTCGTAAGTTCGGGGTTGGGTCTCTTCCGAGCCGAACCCGTCCTCCAAAAGCGTCTCTCCAGAGGTTGCTTCATTCTCGTTACCGCTCGCGGCAGTTTCTACTGGATCGGGCATGTTGATCGATACCACCGCAGCCCAACTGTAAAGGCTAACTACCAGGACTATCCCAACAACCACTCAATGTGACGATAGCGACTCTTTTGGGGCGGTGATGATGACATGGCCGAGAAGCAACAACAACCAACAAACATAGCGAAGACAAAAGGTTTTGCGTCGGGCATCGGTGGGAGTGGAAATGGACACGACTCACGAGTAACTCAGTCAGAACGTCAGAACACCTACTTTTTCATTCTTTAAATCTCAGATTTCTCCTCAAATGTCATTCATTCCCACTGGATACTGGTATGGCACCGGTATAACGGTACGGTACCGGTACGGTACCAGTAATGGTACGTGAATGCACAAAATTGATCACCTCGTTCGTGCCCTCCCCTCTCTGTCCCCATCCTCTCTAACCCATATTGTAACTCTCCCCATTAACCTCGTTTTACGCTGCGTGCGTATGGTGACAAAGTCTCGTGCAACTTGTTACTAGCACACCGGTACCGGCAACAGTGCCTGTCCTTTGTCTATCTTATGCTTGTTGACCTTTGTCTATCTTATTCCAGTTGAGCTACTGAGCAAGTCGGGTGTGGTCCTCTTCAACTTCTCCGTCGTCCGCTCCTCCTTCGTCGCCCCACTCCTCTTCTGCCTCGTCCCCTGTTTCAAAGCAATCATTGAACGCCTCTTGAGGGTCCTTCCCTGTGTACAAGATTGCCATCAGCCCTGGGAAGAAAGTTTCCATCCTCTCCTCGGAAGAATCGAACACTTCTTGTACCATTTCGGTGGAAAGCCCGTCGCCTTCCGCCAGTTTGTAATAGTTCTTGAATCGAATCTCCCCATCGTCCATGTTCATTTCAAAGCTTCCCATATACGTATCGTAGTTCACGTACGTCAAGTAAACGGCCACATCGTTGCGTTTGTCTTCCGGAACATAAACCGGAAGACCCATGTAGTATTGGAATACGTTCGTTTCCTCGTTCACAAACAACATCACTTGACGCGTGACGCCGCATGTTTTGACAATGTAATCCAGCCTCGGATCATTGCCTTCCTCTGGAGAGTTGTATTGGTAGCCGAGTGGGGTCATGACTGTTTTGATTGTTTCCAAAAGCCCCGTCCCGGTCGGCGATTCTACTGCTTGCTCTGGATTGGGAAACACTGGTTCGTTAGAGATTGGCTCCCGCGTGTCCTCGTCTTCATCGGTGCAGCTTTCTGTCGGCTCGGTTGTTTTTCCTTTTTCCTTGGGCGGGTCGGAGTCTTCGGTTGTGGGTTCCGAATCCGTCTCACTCGATACGGCGTCCACCAGAGGATCCGACATTTCTTTGGGTGCTTCTCCTGTCTCAGATTCGGAGGGTGGGGCTCTCGATTCACCAATAACTGGCTTGGCGGGTGCTTCTAATGCGATTGGTTCCCACATGTCAAGGCCTCCATCGTACTCGATTTCTGCTTGCTTTGTCATTGGTATTGGCTCCCACATGGCTGGGCCGTCGGCCAGGGAGGAAACTGATTTACTCCCAACTCTGGCACCGCCAAAGACTGCAGCGTGCGGGGTTGTGTCTGGCGGTCCCGTGCTTTCTTATGCTGAATGCTGTTGTGGTGGGTGTTGAGTTGCTTGCTTTTTGAATTTGTGATCGCTTTTTGGCCAATCATTCTCAAGCCACGACTGATCCGGCCGGCCTCAATCTGGCCACCCACCCACGTTTGAGATCCATTTTTTATTAATCTCTTCGACAATGGCCCGCAATGAACAAAGCACATCGACGACGGCCACCACAACAAATAGCTGGCTGGACAACCCAAAGAACAACCCAAATCAGGATCGAGTCATTACCAAAACTATCCTTCTAAAGCGAGAATAACCCAACTCCAGAGGAACTACATCATGATCTGGATCAAGTCTCCATCACACCCATGTGGGTCCCCAGGGCACCCCCAGGGGCATGATCGAGAGATACAGGGCACCCCCATGGGCATGATCGAGAGATAGAAAGTATCCGTTAATAACCACCAGTTCTTTCAGCGATTAATTATGCTCCGAAAGTCGAGATATGACACCTACTCGTGGAGAGTTCACAAAAAGACTTCTCTGCAGATATCTCTCCTCGTTTCAAACTTTCACAAGCTTTCAACAATAGGACCGCAAGATGAGTAACTGCTGCTTACAAGGTTGCTGCTTGCGGGGCTCCAACCCGAAAACGTAACAATCTTGATGATTCCCTCGAGTGTGAGCTTTCATCAGAGGTTGAAGAACCGCCGCGAAAAAAGGTCAAGCTAGACCATTGTAGGACATAAATTCTATAGTTGTTTTAGTGCTTTGATCGCATCTACTTGAGTGCATGCAGCATGACCCAATACAAGGAGGACTAAACTGTGGGTTCATTGTGCACGCAGACTAAGCAAGTTGTAGTGGCTTCTATCTCAGAAGACATGACCTGCTCGCTGACCGTGCCGGTTGTTGCCACATAACACACGACACAGTGCCATCAGACTAGGTTGCAAGGGGCAGAGAGTAACTTCGTCGCAGCCAACGTAGCCCAAGACCAAACGTCCGGAGACAAACCAAGATTGGCTTGGCATGACATCCAATGGATAAGGGTCAAAACATGAATACATCAATCTTCTGCCCGATCGCATGGTTAGCTAGACCAATTCTTGTTCCTTGCTTTCGGGCCGCAAAACCGATGCGGATTGATCCCCTTCCGAGTCCAGAAGCCTTAGCTCTTCCTCGGAAAAGATCTTGGGCAATACCACCAACCGAAGAGGCACAAAGGCCACCACCACAAGCGGAAAGGCAATCGCCAGGGGACCCGTAAAACGCCAACCCCAACAAGCCGCCAAGCATGCAAGTTGCACGGCGGTGTAGAGATGGATACGTTTCCATGGCAGCTCCATGTAGCCATTTTGATTCTTGTCCCGTGTTACAAACTCGGACGGCGCAGTCAGCAACAGAACGCACCGATCAATGAGTTGGTTTCCCGTCCCGGGAAGTATGCCCTGAAGACCAACAAAGGTCAGAATGCCATTCACTACTCCCAAGGGGCACTTTTCGAGGACTGCAGGCACCAGGAGGCCGCCAAAGCACAGCATGTACACCACCATGGGCGCCACACGTGATTCATGGACTTTGATAACTTTCCACGGTGTTTCGGACTTGTCGTAGTCTGTGAGAGCTTTGGTGAATTGTGGCGAGTGCGGGAGAGACGCCGTGACAAAGGGCAATCCAAACATGGGTAGAATCAGGTTGCAAACTCCGGTGATAAACATGGAGGAATGGTAGTATTCGCCCTTTTGCAACCCCAGCTCGGGCTTTTGCCCCAAGATACAGGAAAAGAGATGATCAATGTAAAAGAGGGCGACAATGGGGATGGCTGCAATCAGGGATACCAGCATTGTCACCCACAGGGACGACCCATCGTCGGCTGCCAGTCCCTGATACCAACTCCGCCGTTCGCCAGTGTACTCATCTTGATAGGTTGGTTCAAAGTTTCGTGGCATGGAGATGCGGTCTACTTCGACATGGTCCTTGACAGAATAGCTAATGGTAACACAAAGCACCACTGCCAATGGGACGGCATAATCTGCAATAGTATGACGCCACCTTTGATTGAGAATGGTGGACCGATCCACGTAGTAGAAACCAAGTGAAAAGATGATACAGAAGAGTGCGAGATAAAAAGCAAAGAAGGCTGATGCCCACTCAACCTGTGGTACCGCAGCAGCAGGTTGAATGAGAAACAACGCGTAAGTGAGGACCCAACTAATTGTGTGGAGCTTCCGCCCCCCCCCCCCCCCATTGCTTACATTGTCGAAGCGTTCCACAACACCAATGATTCCATCACTAATGTAAATGGTACAGACAAAGACGGCATAGATATCATGCAGAAACCGTGTACAAAGCACAATGTACTTGGACCATCCAAAAGCGGCAATGAGAATGAGATAAAAACCGACAAAGAATCCCACCCAGGATAAGAGAGAATAATAGTTGATCGAGTCCATGCGCTCTGCCAACGCGTAGAGATCCGTCATGAAAGCCGTAATGGGTCCAGTAGGTCGCAGAATGGCAAGAGGACAAGCCGCAAAGAGGGAATGACCAACCCCCGCCACACCTTGGAGCATCAGGTACTCGGTAATGCCGACACGGCCATTTGTTTCTCGCGCCGCCACATCGCCCAAGGCCACGGTCGATGTGACCGTGGCACAAAACATGAAGAGCGACGCCGATTTGGTCTTCCAAGTCAACCCATCCATCCAGTCCGATGTCAACCAGTGCGGCCAACGCTTCTTGTAGTCATTGAGGACTCCCCCCATGCATTTGTTTTCGCTGTCATGGCTCTGGAGCGCCTGAGGAATCTCAAAGGCAGGAGAATTCTTTTCCAACCAAGATCGTTGAGACTCCAATGTCTTGGGATTGCGACGTTTGGGTTGAATGACACCCTGATGCTCTTGCTGGAACAGAGCATACGGCTGATCATCAGTGTTGCTGCTATCCGCCATGGTTTCCTGGTGTTCTTGTTTCCAACAATGCTACCGTACGGTATCAACCTCCAAAAGGCAAAGCAACATGTACCAAAGAATTGCTGAACAGTGAGCCAGCCATCATAGCCGAGCCTCCAACATGATTCTTCTTCTCTTCTTACCAAGCTCAGCAAAGCGTGCAATAGAACAACTTCCCTCCTCTAAACCCCATACCAAGCATGCAGATCAACGAGCACCGAGCACCTTATTGGGGTGAGATGCCAAAATTTTGCCGTTTCTTTCCTTCAGAATTCAGGCACGGATGAAAAGATTTAAGTCAGCCGGAGCTGCGATACCTCGGCAGAAAGACAGATAGAAGAAGGAGGATCATGTTCGAGATTGCACCCATCTTTGAAGCCAGCCCTGGCGACAACACCCGACTACGTCGTGTGTTGCCGCCCGGTATCATTCATTCCCTCATTGCAACCTTCTTTATTAAGCTAGCCCTGGCGACAACACCCGACTACGTCGTGTGTTGCCGCCCGCTACTCTATAATTTACCAGCTGCCATTCCCTTATTGTAACTCTAACCTTTACAACTCCTGCTGGCTTATTGTGCTGTTGTGCTGATTGCACTAACCTTAAATATTAATGATTTATTCCTACCCCTAACTTGTATTGAACCATCAATGTTCAGTTTTGTTGGCTTATGACTATCTCTATCCTTATACTTTGGCTTCACCGGAATAGGAAATAGGAAATAGAAAATAGGAAATAGGAAATAGCATTAAAGGGGTTGAGAACTCAGGCAGTTTACCTGCCGAGGTAAACCAGTTCAGCTGATTGACTGCTTTGAGAGCGGTGCCCTAAAGCCCACGAGTATGAGGAAGGTGCGGTACGAACATGTATCTAGCTAGCTATCGGTACCTTACATCAAGAGCCGCCACCGTGACCAGCTATTGCAGCCAACCAGCTGGCTAGATTGATCATTCGTAGCGAGGCTAAGAGCGGACTTATCTGTATGCATTGAAGCACTGAGCCAGAACTAGTGAACGTTACGGAAGGGAAAATCAAATGAAACAAACCAAACTTTTGGACTACAAACGAAACGAAGCAGGTTCAAGGTGGATACCGGTAATAGGGTGGCCTTGGACTGGGGAGGAAAGCACCCCTCGCAGGCTTCCGCAGATAAGTTCCTTACTCTAAACCCCTGCTACCAGAAGCCCCCATGGTCTGACAAACTACCAACCCACTCCCCACGCTCCTACACCCAACTCCTTTCGGCCCCAACTGCCATCCTCCCCACCACCGATACACACTTAGTCACACCCACCAACTACTCCATCGACACCCAACCCTACACACCTTCACGCTGGGCACACCAATCTCTCGCCCTCAATCTATCTACCCACTTGGCACAACACTTTCAACGCGCCATTTCACGCCAAGCTCGATCCCTCTATTCCTCCGGCTCATCCCCATCCTAAGTACTTGCTGGTACATATGCCTACGTCACGCCCTGAACCCTTGGGTCCCTTTCCACACTTTCTACAAGAGGACGTTACCTATAGTGACGTTCCTTTCACGTAATTCCCTTTATAGTTATTTATTTATTGAAAGGGCCCGAAATGGCGATTTACACGAAATTCCGATCTATACTTGTGTTTCGATTTTATATTTTGGTTTCGGTTTTATATTTAGGTTTCGATTTTATATTTAGGTTTCGGGTTGATTTCACTAGTTATTTTCCATAATAATTAGGTTTCGGTTTTATATTTTGGTTTCGGTTTTATATTTTGGTTTCGGTTTTATATTTAGGTTTGGAATTGATCAATTTAATTGGATTCTTAAAATCCTGATTTCGGGCCCTTTCATTTAGCTTGTTCATTATTTTCGATACTCGGATCGATCTGCGGTCGCCATGGAGCACCTTTCTATTTGAGTTACGTTGAACGGCTGCATGCTTGTCGTCGCTAACCCTCGAGTTTCATTCGATCCCCACAAGGCTCAGATCAGAAAAGCTTATGGAATAAGCTTTGCCTCCTCTCCATTGAGTCTCCTCATCTGTTGAATTGAATCTTTTGTGGAATCAACCATGTTGTCGACTTTCAATATCATGCTGCGTGTCATCGCACCCATTCTCTTCAAGTCAGTGCACGGTACTGGTACAACCAGTGAGCCCCAAAAGTATGCACTGCACATGATTGACTTCAACGCGGAGCATCGTCGGTTGGTTCCCATCAGCGGATATGTCCAATTTGGAGGAAATCTTGTGGGAGATACTGATGGACGATTTGGATGGTCTGTGGCCATTGACGAGACAGGGACAACAATAGTGGTCCATGAAGATTTCACTGACACTGCTCGTGTCTATGAGAACGCTGCCAATGGATGGACACAGAAAGGACAAGACTTGACAGGTTTTGATCTAAATGGCCCTGGTCGTACGGTTGCAATATCAAGGGATGGCAGCATTGTTGCTGTCAGCTCTACTTTTGTTAGCCTTGTTAAAGTGTTCCAATACGACACAAGCACAGAGATATGGCTGCAAAGAGGCAGTACCATTCAAGGTGTTGAGTTGAATGGCTCGCCAATTATTTTGTTTGGTTCTGCCATTTCTCTGTCAGCAGATGGAGACAAAATTGCAATTGGGGCTCTGTTTCATTCTAGCCCAACTCTACGTCATGTGGGCTTTGCAACAAGCTACTTCTGGAACGGCAATGATTGGGAGCGTGAGGAATATAGATTTAGTGGTATAGGGATTCTCTCTGGACTGTATGGAGAAATTTTTGATGCAGAGTTGGGGCACTCAGTACAGATTAGAACACAGACAGGTTCGCCCTGCTCAAACGGACAGATAACGTTCAACTGAAACACCTAACTCTAATGTACTTTTGGTTCGACTAATCGTGCGTTGCTTGTCCTGGCTCGCACCTCATTTTTGAATCAAATCTGGTGCCACACAAATCCACCAAAACACAACAACAACAGCTACGAGCTGTACACAATGGTGGAGGAGCGGCCGATCACTACCGGTACTGCTACTACTACTACTATTACGGGTAAGTAATTATCAAGTGTGTTATTATTGAAGGTGTAGCACTGACTTCTGTCCCTCATTGAATTCCTATGGTAAACAGGAGAGAAGTCCAAGCTTGGCCGACAACAATGACTGGAGTTGCGGCGGATCGATCAAGCGATCGCAATGAGGTAAGCCTATTATCAAGAGTGTTGATTGAAGGTACAGCGCTGACTTCTCTCCCTCATTGAATTTCTATGGTAATCAGGAGAGAATTCAAAGCTCGGCCGTCAACAGGTGAGTTGTTTTAATTATTCGAATCGATCGATCGCATCTCTATTATCTCTGTTATCCAAGCCTCACTCAAGCTGGTTGACTCTGGTACAGAAGCGAAAGCCATCCCTCATTGAATCCTGTGGACCATGGGATGGCAGTCAGTTCTCGCCCCATGACGGCCAAGTTGGTGCAATTTGAAAAGCAAGAGTAAGTCTCTGGTTGTCTGCAGTATCAGAATAGAAGAGAAAACCATATCTATGTCTTACTTTCTGTTCTCTTACTGCTGACGGCCGTGGAATTACCATTGTCGAGGAGTCCTTTTTTGAACGAACGATCCATTGCTGCTCCGGATAACAAGAGGAGAGGATCCCGCTACGGAGGCTCTGTTAACTCCAGCCCTACCGATAGTCTCAACAGATCGTCGTCGAGTCATTGAAAGGCAACAAGAGGAGGCTACACGACAACACACAAGAATGGATCCTCCTATTGGATTCATCCCTCCAGTGATATTTCCTAGTGATTTGGTGGTGATTCCTGTGTCGGTACCCATTTTCTGTATGCACAAGTTGGTCGTGGAGGATAAGATAGATGTAACTCAATTAGTTAGATGTAGAACATTGATTACCAACCAAATAGACCATACCCATTTCATTAGATAGACACCTTCTCGATCAATAGCAGAGCTATGCAGAGCTCTAGGATCTGTGCCTGGTAACCTCGCCTTCCAGGTACCGGTATGGTGGTACGTTTGTTTCATGAACGAAAACTCTGGATGAGGTATGGTATTGGTTGCACAAACCAAAACCTTTGGTTTGGTTGAAAAGGTTTTGGTTACACAAACCAAAACCCAGAGATTGGTTTTCGTCCCACCGAGCAACTCGTCGCAGTTGAGCAGGGCGAACCTGTCTGTGCCATAATCCTTGTCACTCTCTGGTGATGGCAACTGGTTTGCTGTTGGAATTCCTGGATCTGGATTCTCTGACAATCTAGCCACAAGGTTTGGTGAATGCCGTGTTTACAACCCTGAGTTTGGCATGATCCAACAAAGTGATGTTGACGGTGGAGCAATGTTTGGGTCCAACGTCAACGACCGGTTTGGCGATTCGGTGGCTCTAAGCTATGATGGAAGCATTGTTGCAGTTGGTTCTCCTGGGTATGACGTGCTTGGTGGGGCTACAGATGTAGGAAGGGTGCAAGTTTTTGAAAGAACTGGTGAAATTTGGGGCCAATTGGGAAGGTAAGCATTGAGGACTGTGAATTAAATATGCATGCCACTTGATATTTTTTACTTCTGACTCTGCCCCCTGTGGCTTGTGATACATACATAGTGACCTCATTGGGGACGAACACGATGATCTATTTGGGGGTTCCATTGATTTATCTGATGATGGAAAAACCCTTGTGGCTGGATCTGCAGGTATTTTCCTCAATCCTCCTCGTGGTTACACTCGCATCTACAAGTTTGATGGCACTGATTGGGTCCTTCAAGAGATCAGCAGGGCCCAAGGTTTTGATATTGATGGAATTGGTGGAGGTGATCGTTTAGGAGAGAGTGTTGCCATTTCTGGAGATGCGACTAAAGTCCTTGTTGGAGCACCCTTGTATGATGACATTCCTTCAGGTCTAGAAGATAACGGTCTTGTCCAAATGTGGGGACAAACTGACTTTCCCACATTTTCACCTATTGTGAATCCTTTGCTTCAAGTTGGCAACCTGGGCACTGGTGGAAGCCCCGCACAGACCAATTTTGTTAGTAGGGCATTCAGGGTGCTGTCTCCTATTTGGAAGGTTTTTTTGTGTAATTGAAGAAAATAGATACTAAATAGATACGTTAAGGAGCGTGAAGTGGTTTTAGAATATATGGGGTTTAGAGTGGTTAAATGATTGTCAAGGTGTTTCCATTTCTGTTGTCTTTGTTGGTGAAATCTAGTTATTTTTATCACGGAAACGGGTGGAGATTGGGCTGGTTCCACATTGATCCAAAGTCACCTTTCTGCTGTTCACCAATGAAAGCAATGATGAATACTGGTACCAGGTAGCCTTTAGTGGCTGGGCTCCAGCCCTGGTAGACATTGCCAGCGCACATGAATATTGCATAGCGGAGGTTTGTAGCCAGTTGCGGGAAGAAATTAAGGATGTACTCCCTGCTTATCATCTTCACCGTGGATCCAATGGCTGAGTCGTCAGTGCGATATCTCCCCCTCCATCATCCCAACATACAAAGTAGCAAAATGGATAATCCTTCACCCTTGACCAGACATTGATTCCAGGCAGCACCACCATCAACATTTGCAAGAGGGAAAAGTTAATCAGACCCATCCTACGTGGCTCTAACACATGCGCAAAATGCGCGTGATAAAGACCACACAATGTATGTTTATCCACGGCTGAATTTCCCTCCAGTAGTCCTTTCAACCAAAGCTTGAAAGCAGCAAAGTTGTGTTGTGCTACAGGATCTCGAAAGGCCTCCAAACCTTTCGCTTTCGCTCTCTTTCCTTCTTTGGGCAATTGTTGTTTGGGTTGTAGCCACAACAACAGGTCGCCTTGAGTTCCGGTTGCCTTCTTGGAGAGGAGAAACTCTTTCGAGTAGACTTTGCGTCCTCCTCTGGAATCGATAGGGGCGACCGGGCTGGAAGGCTCCAACTGTTCCTTTCTTATGAAGCAAGTCGAACCGATCATTAGGACCATTCTGATGAGACCATGGAACATCAACACACTTTTCCTTCTCACGGTTCAACGAGAAACTTGCAACGGTGCGCAAAAATCGAAAGCAACAGGTGCCGCTGGAGGCACGACCATTCATCATTAGAGATAGCGTTAAATGCCTCAACGCCAGGCCGAAGGTGCGCGGCAGGCTTTGTGACCGATTCAAACCCAACTTGCCTTAAATAAGCTGCCAAGTCACGGATTTTAGTTAAGACTGTGACCGATCGCGCTCCGCGAAACCACATCACCCCGAAGAGGACCCTCATCCATCACATCCCTTGTTGCTGTTGTTGTTGATTACGTTAGTTTAAGTTAGTTGACCATGGAGGCTGAATCCCCAACGTCGTATGGTTACGCGTCGTGGCGGACCGCAGAAGGAGGCAGCCGCAGCCGCTTGTTTGGTGGTGCGGAAGACGCCGAAGAAGTCAAGTTGGAAGTGAGCCGGACGCGATTGAGTTTCTCCATGTTTGCGCCGGAAGGAGGAAAGACTCCAATGAACAACAACAGCAAAGTCGCTCCTACAAAGTTGATGAAGATGCGGAATCCATTTGATGGGTACCTATCTAGTTCGGAGGAAGATGACCATGACGATAACGATACATTGGAATCTCCCAGCACGGGCAGCGGCAAAGAGAATGATCCAATGACGGTTTCGTTTGCACCTGGCCGAGCTCCGGGCACACGACAAAAGATGAACAAGAGACTCCAAAAGATTGGCGACTATGGACGCTACTCCCGCAACAAGAAAGACAACCACCATGATTCGGATTCCATGCTGACATCCCCGTATGTCTCTCCATCGACCTACTTGACCATGGACGGGCGCTGCGTGACTAGTGAAAACCCATTCTCGCCCATGAACACGGACGGAGTAGCCGCCAAGACTCCGACCATGTTGGCCATGCCCTCCTTTCCCATGTCCTTTGACCTCAAATCACCCGAAGATGGTCCACCGACTCGTCATCGACTCGAAAAACGCTACGCTTCCCCGCCCACTGTAGGAAAAGCACAACTACCACCACAAGACGTATCGCATCAATCTTCCTTGGCCAGTATGGATACATCGTTGGACTCTCCAGATAATGGTATGGTGGACACACACAAGGTTCGACGTCTGGGAATGGATGGTGATGTCCACTACCCCAAGCAACAAAGCAACAACAACAATAAACGCACTGATTTGTTTGTCGACACAAAGCCACGACGATACTACATGGCGGGATCACCACCGATTGATGAAACGAGTCCTACGGATGTACTGTCGTTTCCCCCGCCCACACCCGCCAAGTCACCCCCCAACAAGAAGAATGCCCACTTGTCCACTCCTCCCGGAACTCCCAACATTCGACGTCCCCAGCGACCGTTTCACGCCAATCGCTATCATCAGGATTGTGGTGGAGGAACTCCCGATACCCAAGTCACCACTGCGACTACAACTACCACATCCAGGTTTCGCTCCGATTTTGACGTTATTGATGAATTGGGAAAGGGTGCCTTTGGAGTCGTCTACAAAGTCCTGTCACGGTTGGATGGCTGCATGTATGCCATGAAGGTCAATCTGCGCAGTGCCAAGGGAAACTCCGAGCGTAAACGCATGCTCAAGGAGGTAGGATCGTCTCTCGCATTGTGTTGCTGTTTTGCTTGTTTGATTGCCGACTAACTGATCTCACTTCTCTTGTATGCACAGGTCTATGCCCTGGCAGCCCTGTCGGATCACGCCGACCCGGCAACCTTTCACATTGTCCGGTATCACCAAGCTTTCATTGAAGACGATCGACTCTACATTCAGACGGAACTCTGTACTTGGAACCTGGCGAATGAAATTGAGAGCGCCAATGGACACCTGCCCATTGAAACACGCTGGAAACTGCTTCGAGAAATGCTGTTGGCGCTGGAGTTCATTCACAAACACGACATGGTTCATCTGGAGTAAGTGGTTCTCTAACTTGCTACCCACTCCTCTTGATCATCAGCACTGTCAGCCACATTCTCCTTGGTCAATACTCATGTCACTGTTTGCTTCTTCTTCCTCTCCATCATGTCAGCATCAAGCCCCAGAACATTTTTGTCAAGAACGATACTCCACCCGTCAACTTGTTTAAACTCGGAGATTTCGGTTTGGTTTCCAAAGTGTCCCAAGACAAGAAGAAGGAAATTGAAGAAGGCGATTCACGGTACATGTCCATGGAATTGCTCATTGAAGATCATCGCGATTTAAAAGCCAGTGATATTTTCTCCTTGGGGGCCACCTTGTACGAAATTTGTCTGCGACGACCACTCCCCACCAATGGGGCGGAATGGCAAGCCATTCGCCAAGGACAGTTGATGCCCATGATGGATACCCCCATGGAAATGGATGCCATTGTACGACAGATGATGCATCCTACCTTTTCGGAACGACCCAGTGCTTCGGATCTGCTGCGACGACCGCAGCTGATGAGCAAAGAACAACGCATGCTGATTAATGAACGCAACAAGCTCTTTCAAGCCAAAGCGGCACTGGCCCAACAAGTTCGAGACTTTCAGAAACTCTCTCCGCCACCGGCTGGCACATTGGCGCGACGCAACACGTGGAGTGGTGGATCCTTCTAGACAGCTCGAACACGAGGATTGCGTATTCACAAATCTATAATACTAAATCATTCTGTTTGGCTATTGCATGGACTAAATATGTAGTTTGTATTATTATGGTACCAGCTAGCTAGCTACTGTAGCCAGCCATGCATCGGCTGAAGGAAACATGTAGGGTGATGCTTCACGGCGGGAACTCAAAAAAAAGCATCGTAGCGACACTTAGGCAACCGGAAGCAGGTTGCGGCCTCCAAAGAGTTTGCAGATTCTGATGGCGATAACCGCGGGTTTTGTTCGAGCATGTTGTTGTCGTTGTCGTCAGAATTACGCTTCCATTTTCTGAGCAGCCTTGTTTTCCTCTGTTTCGTGCACTGGAATGAGACTGACCAGCGTCGGATGTTCCTGAAAGAGACAGAACAAGGAATCCAGCAGAATGGGTCTCTTGCGTGGCCCCACAGCAATAGCATCATCGTCCGGAGTGTACACGTATTTGCTCCCGTTCAGGTTGCATTCGCTGTCATCATTGTCAAAGTCGTGGATGCGAGCCGGGCCATCGCCATAGATATGGTTCGTACTACTGGTATCATTTCGTTTCTCGTCCTTCTTTTTCTTGTTGTCGTCTTGTGTCTGGTCGTCGTCATCGTTTGCGGTGCCATCGTTCTGTTGTTTCAGTTTCTCCTCTTCTTCTACTTCACTCTTGGTGCACAGTTTAAAATCCCCCGACTTGGCTCGTTTCTTGGCGTACACGAGTGCTTGTCCCAACACGCTGGAGGAGGAACACCCACCGGCATCCATAATCTTGGTCAATCCCAACGTGTTCATATCGAGGCGGGTTTGAATTTTGGGTGGCAACGGATATCGTCGCATCATCATCCGTGAGACTTGTCGATCTTGCAAATCTCCAATGCGTACTTGACAGACAGTATCATTGTGTTCCTTCAAGACTTGATACAATCGTTCCAAATTACGTTGCCGTTCGGTTTCTGCCAGTGCCATTTGACGTTTTTGTTCTTGTTCGGCGTCTTCTTGTTCTTGGGTTCGTTGCGGTGGTTGTGGTACTGGAACAGCAGCAGCAGCTGGCGGTATAATAATGGGCAATCCATCGACTCCCGGAGGTGGAATATCCAATCCCAATTGTCCCAAATCGTCCGGTCCGTGCAATTGTCCATCCGTCTCGGTATGATTCTCCAATTCGACATAATTGTCTCCATCGGCCAACATGGGGCGTCCGGGGACATGGAATCGATTCATTTCGACCACGACAGGTCCACCTTGTCCAGTCGCATCCAACCATTTCAAATGACGATTGGATTTGAGAATTTGCAACAATGGATCGACCATGGACGTCGTTTCATCGTCGGTATGAAATGTCAATCGCGTCACCACAAACGAATCGAGTCCGCGATTGGTTTCCATGGCATGACAGAGTGTGGTAAAGTTGTGATGCCGCATGGCCATGTTGGTAAAATTCAAGTGTTTCAACGATGCCGATGGTAGTACTCCTTCGCGTTTGCGTTTGCGCGTGGCCAGTATTTGTGTCAGTGTCGTGACTTCGGGATCATTCAACACGTGATTTTGAAAATGGAGTTTGTGGAGTTGCGGCAGTGAACAAATCGCTTGAAAGGTAGTGGGTTCACAATCGGTCGAGATATTGGCCACTTGAATGACGGGTTCAAAAACTTGAATGACTTCTTGAATCATGGAATTCCAGATTCGTTCCAACGGAGTACGGGCGGCATTGTTGGCATTCATGCGCAATTGTTCGCGATAGACAAAAATGATTTGTCGTTTGACGGTCGTCTTTGGATCGACAATGTCGGGAGAAATAATCAATTTGTCATCGGCAATCTCCAAACCAAGTGGAAATCGCTGTTGGGGTGGCGGTGGTCGTTGCTTGTTCTTTTGAATCTTCTTTACCACTACCTTTGGTTTTGGCTTGGCAGTAGTATCGTCGCCATTCTCATTGCTAGTACTAGTAGTCTCTTTGTCATCTTTCTCGCTACTCTTCTTCTCGTCGTCTTTGTCACTACTTGTTTTCTCTTCCTCGTCTTCTTCCTCCTCTTCTAACTCTTCTTCTTCCTCGCCTTCTATGATATGAATAGGCTGCAAATAGGGAAAAATGGTCGATCGCAGAATCCGTCGAAACCGTCTCATATACGGCAACGCCTTGGGGAGTTTCATGGAAAACTTTTCCAAATTGGGACAGGCATCCAACAGATCTTCCACGACGTCTTGTAACCACGACGGATGATTCAACAGTAGTGCGGACAAATGGCCATCGAGAAAACAGGCGCGAATCCGTTGCGGCGATACTTTGGCTTTCAAGAAAATGGCCGACAGCGGATTCTCGCAAAAGTTAAAGAATTGACCGCGCAATGTAAACGAGCCCATCATTTCCGAAAAGTGAATCTGCAATCGCTCCGCTTGCTCGTATTCGTTCCAACCCGGAACATCGTGGCTTTGTTGGGCGCCCATCGTACTGTCGAATGATGGTGTTGCCAATCCAATCAATTGGTGTGGTTGTTGCTGTTGCCAATCGCTTGGTGTGGGTGTGGTTGTTAGTAATCAATCCGTAGATGTCAGTCGATGAATGCGAATTCGAGTCGAGTCAATCCAGTCTGTGGATGGTATTACATGTACTGGGCGGAATACACTAGTAAGTAGTCTAAGCAAAGAAATAGAGACATACATGTACGGTACAAAGACACACGCATTCAAGGATGGTTTGGGAATTGGGAAGGCAAAGGCAAAGGCCAAGTTTGCTGCGTGCCTCCACAACAGGATGTTGTTGTTGACGGGACCGGTCGTTAAATGACTGTGGCGTCCGGTCGCCATGCATTTTAATGCGCTGCTACTGAAACTTCCACGGTCAGCACGTCATCCATCCCATTGGTTCCATTCAGATCCGATTTGGTTAGGAAGCAGTTTCAGATATATATTATTACGATAGTTCGGGCTGGCTTGCTTATCTATCTGATACTTTTCACGATGTGGTGTCGGGCCTTTTCATGCATGCATGTTCCTGCACAGAGACTTCTGCTCCTTAATTCCTGGTTCCCCGTCCGTCCCACAAGGCCTTGCCAACAAGGTTCCATTCATTTCCATATTTCCATGTCACAACAGCTCACAAATTTCTATGCATAGAGGTCCAACTCTCAAAATCAACCAACCAACCAACCAACCAACCAACCAACCAACCAACCAACCAACCAACCAACCAACCAACCATGTCAACAACAACGACGAAGAAGGAGATCGTTCCAAATTCCAGCATGTTTGCTGGCATGGGAGATGCTTTGAATTATCTCAGCATTGCACTCACCCTCGCCATCACGAGTGCGGCAATGCTGGGAATTCCACAAGGTGCTTATGACGAATGGCCGGTGGAGTGCACAAGGATTTTGCGTCAATAAATCAGAGGAACGAAGCGTGGATACCGAAATTTTGTGTTTTATCAGTCTGGCCGGTTCTGCCCTCTTTACAATATACTTTATTAATTAATGGACAACACGCGCCAAAAATGAACTCTTGGCCAAAATGAACGCCTTTATCTTTTGCCAATTTAAATTTGCACACGACATGTCATGTTGCTGGCGTTGGGAGGAACTCCTCCTCCTTTGGAATTGTTGTCATTGGAGCCAACCGCACTGGCGTGGGTGGCGAATCTGGTCATCTTTTGGATCGACACTACGTGTCATGGCGCAACGACTCTCCATGACAGGAGTGATGGCCATGTCCATTAATTAATTGCGACCCTTGTGGCACAATATTTGTTGCATGTACCACCGGAACTGACGTTTACCTATAGTCAAGCCATTATTCTGGTGGCCGGGTCGTTGGACCAGTTGTCGATTCCTCAAACAGAGAAAGGATTTACATATGCCGCCATTGCGGCCTACTACATTCCACTGTTGGCCGTGAACGCGCTCGAAATGACACATTGCACAGATTTTGCCAGCATTGGTGGCCGTGCCTTTTATGATTCCTATCTGGCCGTCATGCCTTTTCTTTTGTTTTACAGTGTGCAAGCGTTCGAGTCGTCGTCCGAAGTGAAGAAGAAGACTGAGTAATATCGAGGTTTCTCGCGAACAGATCGGGTTTCTATGTGCAGTCCAGAATGTGGAAATGGACTCCGTGTCTTTTCTGGTTACCGACCATCTATAGAAAATAAATCCAGATATATGAACACAACCAGAGAGAAAGATGGATTTATGAAACCCATTGTCGTTGCTGTGGTCATTTAGATCTAGCGGAAGTACCAAAGGTGCCCGAATGAAGCAAGCTTCCTACCAAAATTTTGCTAGCTAGGCACTACGACCAACCGTATGGCACTGCCTGTTCTCGCCACCCAGGAATTCTGCGATGCTTTGCACTTACGCTACGATCTGTTCGGAATCCCTCCGATCCCTCCCTTTTGCCCTGTTCCATGCAGCCTTCCCTGCTATTTCCCTGCGAATGCCTACAACTGATACCCTGATCTGACTAGCTTAGCCCCCCTTGCTCCATAACCCATCTATCTGGTATTTATTTTCTTCCCTACTGGCTAAGATTATCCACCATAACCACAGTGATATTATTATTGACCATGGCGATGGCAAAGGATTGTATGAAGGACGAAAAGACAACAACAATTGACAAGACCAAGCTCTTGCAAATGAGGAAAACTCCTATCTGCAGACTGGGATCACAATTACGAAGACAGGTCCAATGTGATGAACGAAAAGTTAGGGACAGCAACTTACTTAAGTAACTCTCTACTGAAACAGCATGGACGAGTAGCACGGTTGACCCAGCTACGTCATGATTCATTTTCACCCTGTTGCTTGATTAGATTTGATCCAATTCACAACATGTTGATGGTCGCGAGTTTGAGCGAAGGCTATTGTCGTGATTCTGTGCCATGGGCACCCATTCTCACGAGCCCATTTCAGAAGTTCCAAATGACCACCTTCAGCAGCTGCAGAGCATGTCCATTCATCCCATGGGCACCCATTCTCACGAGCCCATTTCAGAAGTTCCAAATGACCACCTTCAGCAGCTGCAGAGCATGTCCATCGATCCCATGGGCACCCATTCTCACGAGCCCATTTCAGAATCCAAATGACCACCCCAGCAGCGCAGTGCATGTCCATTCATCCATGGGCACCCATTCTCACGAGCCATTTCAGAAGTTCCAAATGCCTCCACGAGCAGCAGCAGAGCATGTTGCTTATCCCATGGACACCCATTCTCATGAGCCCATTTCAGAAGTTCCAAATGTCCTCCTCCAGCAGCGGCATAGCATGTTTCTGTATCCCATGGACACCCATTCTCATGAGCCCATTTCAGAAGTTCCAAATGCCCTCTACCAGCAGCGGCATTGCGTGTCCATCCATTCCAGGGGCACCCATTCTCACGAGCCATTTCAGAAGTTCCAAATGTCCGGCACCCGTTCTCACGAGCCCATTTCAGAAGTTCCAAATGACCTCCACGAGCAGCACTACTGCATGTTTCTTCATTCCATGGGCACCCATGCTGACGAGCCCATTTAAGAAGTTCCAAATGTCCATGTCGAGCAGCATACCAGCATGTTTCTTCATCCCAAGGGCAACCGTTCTCACGAGCCCATTTCAAAAGTTCCAAATGCCCTCCACAAGCAGCAGCAGAGCATGTTGCTTTATCCCATGGGCACCCATTCTGCTGAGCCCATTTCAGAAGTTCCAAATGCCCTCCTCCAGCAGCTGCAGAGCATGTCCGTTCCTCCATTGGATATTCTTCTTCTATGCTGGCCCATTGGAGAACTGGGAGATTTCCAGCTTTGGCAATTGTAGGGCAAACATCATTCTGATGAAAACAGGAGAGGTTCTGGCTGGAATTATGTGCCACATGCCAGTATCGAGTGCATGGAACATTGTAAAACACAACTGAGTAGAAAGTATCAGTGCTGATTGCCGCACGCTTCTTTTTGCCCAGTTTGACAGTAGGAGGATTCTTCACAGAATCACAATACTCCTTGTAGAGATGGTTGAATTTCTTGTTGACAGCACCCACATAGGCATACTGTCCCATGCCCAGAAATTGAAGGATGTGGCTGATCCAGAGTTCTTTCTGGTCTAGAATAGCAGGGTTCAGTTTCTGCATTTTATTAGGACTGCAAGGATTGGTGGTAGACATGTTGGCAAAGGCAGGAGAGGAGCTGGTGATGGCAAACAAAATGTGTTCTTGTGAAGGCAACAAGCTTTCTATGAGAGTACTTGCTGTGATTTGTGATGGCTTGGAATATCAACACCAAACGAAATGGCTTCACGATAGTCCCCCCACGGTGGCGTTGTCCACGCTCACACCGGTAGAGGGCAAAGCATGTGTTGGAGTGACTGAATTACAGTCAAGTTGAGTCCTCAGTCTTGAGTGATTGGCGCAACGTCCTAACCCGCCCCCACGGCCTCCATGGCCGGTCGAGGTCTAGATTCTTAAACCAAAGGTTGAGATGGCCAACTGTTGTGCTAGTAAAACTACAAGACCGCTTCACTTTCCCCGCCCAGTTGACCAGCAGGAGACGATGGGATCTTCCAGAATGCGAGACGATGAGAAAGAGAGCGAGGACGACATCTGTATTGATGTTTACGATTCCGATCGAGATGGAGAAGCAGTGGGGCTTCTGTGGGCGGATGGGATTCTGGAGATGTTCCCTCCTTTGTATGCCGAGACTGCCCTCCACCCCACAGTAGTCGGCGGCATGGTGGCCTTGGAAGCCGTCATTATTCCCCTGAGCTCCCACATTGTCACTCCCCGATATCGTCATGTCATCATGGCGGTGCTGCCTGGACTATTTCTGGGGGTTTCATGTTTAGCGTTTCTGTTGGTGGCGGCCCTGAAAATTCACATTCGGTGGTCGAAAAAGACTCGCATCGAAACAACGTTTGGGGATGCTCCCCAAAAGTCTCACCATCAGTCCGACACCACCACCACCAACAACAACAACAACAAGCAGAAGAAGAAAGAGATTATTGGTCAGTGGGTGCTATTGCGAAAAACGCAGGCTCTGGGATGCGTGACGTTGTATCGGGAAGAAGATGCCAGCGACGATGGTCAAGGTGAATGGAGATTTTGGATCAGTCACTTGACGATTGCCCCTTCCATTCGACGTCTGGGATGGGGGGATCGGTTAGCATCCAAGGCGGAAGCCAAGGCTCGTGAGATGGGAGCTTCATCCATTCGAATTCTCGTGGGAAATGTCAAGTCAAAACCATTCTGGTTGCAACGTGGCTACAAAACACTCTATCCTCGTTGGACGTGGCTGGGGCATGAATCAATCTACATGGAGTTGGATCTGAAGGAAAAGGAGGATCAGGATTGATTTTCCTTCCCACAAGTACACTTGCAACACAACACAAGATCATTCAAGGGAGCTGATGGTTCTCCCCGTTGCCATGCCAGCAGTGCCAAATCTGCACTGCCTGTTTGATGTCAGAACAGGGCCGGATGCACCCCGAGCCACGGGTTCGGGAACCTAGCTGGCAGCAACATCATCTATGATCGCCCGCAGAGACTACTACACGTCCATAGCCAGCACCGGACGGCCTGCTTTTTCAGTGGCACAAAACAGAGTGTCGACTGCAGTGTTCAAACAATTTGGCATCATGAGTACTAGAGTTCAACCCTATATGTATTTGGTACGACACAATGCAGTGACATCCAGATTCACTGCTTCTCCGTCCTTTAGCTAGACAGCTTTCCCCTGATCTTCTCCGCCAGTACGAAGTCAAGCAGGATAGACAAAGCCAACCATCGCTCGATGGATCGACATGAAGGCGCCCGTAGTTTCATATTAGTCAGTCAAAGTGGAAGAGCGCGATCTCAGCGCAGCTGTACGCTGTATCACGTCCTCTTGAAGTACATGGTCTCCCATCGTCAGAGCGGTTGAACCGGTGCCACCCTGCCAAGGACCATTTGTTCGATCCGACTATACACAGCCTCACTTTTCTGGAACTTTGACAACGGTGGCATCGAATCATTCAATCATCAGTTACCCAGCGGAGATCGTGCTGAAGATCTGGCTCTCAAACGCTGGATACCGGTATCGTGGACCGATGTCGTCTACTTATTTGCTGGACCTCTTTGTCAAGACGTACGGTCGTTGTTTGGGCGTTCAGTAGCATGATCACGACGTTCCCCGGGCAGCCATCTCATCACACGTCCCATACACCTTTTGAGAAAGACGACGATAGAAATCGGGACTTGGCATGGAATGAGTATCCCTTGCGTCTTCAAATTGTGTGTCAATCAATATTGGGAATTCCGATCCATCCAGCAGAATGGGAAAGATCGCCTTGCGGTACCGCTTAGCAAGCAGAACTTCCTTTTGAACCCATTCCGATAATTCGGCACTCGTTGTCATTAGGACAATCACGGCAGCACAGTGACGTATTGCCTCGTTGATTTCGTTGAACCATTGTTCTCCGTGTGCAATTTGCTCGTCCGTCCACACTTGAAATCCGTTCGCCACAAGATCCGCCTTGAGTTTGTTCTTGTAGGAAGAATCCTTTCGGCTGTAGGAAATGAAAATCTCTGTGGGGGTATCCATAATGGCATTTTCAAATGCCAGCGCAAAGGAGAGTGTTGTCGAGTATCGTTGGGTAGGATTTTTGGCCAATGCCTTTTCCAGGACGGCAGACACGCTGTCCGATAGAGTGGACCGGAACAGCTGTGGAGATGGGATTGGTCTGGAAAAATGCAAGTTTCGTAGTTCTTCTGAGGACTGGGCATCCTCAAAAGGGGTCCTCCCGGTAACAACCTCATAGGCAATCACTCCCAAGGCATACTGGTCCGTCAGCGCGTTGGAAGGTCTGTGACGCCATCGCTCGGGAGCCATGTACGAGGGCATTCCATGAAGCTGACCATTTCCAGTGGGGTACGTCTCATCAAAGGCACGCTTCATGAAATCAGATATGTATGCATTTCCCCAACGATCCATTGCAATGTTGCTCGTGCATGGGTCGCCCTGTATTTCTCCCTGGACATGCAATTGGTGTAGAGCACTTGCAATCTGCTTGATAATTCCAGCCATTTCCTGAGGCGACAAGTGTTCTTGCCCTCCCTGTTGTTTCTGCCACAGGTAATCTCGCAGCAAGCCCCCCGACATCCATTGTGTGACAATGTATGGTACGCCTTGGTGATGGCCACAGTCCACCACAGGGACAATGTTGGGGTGCTCGTACTTGGATTGGATTTCGGCGGCCCGTTCAATGGCTCGTTGACAATCCCGGTCGTGGCGAGTGCTCGGGGAGAGTGTGTAAACTGCCACGTAGCGGCTCAGACTGTGTTGGAACGCTCTGTAAATGTATATAAATGTCCCCTCGTGGATCAACTCTCGAAACTGGAACCCTTTGATGTCCCAGTTCTCAAGATCTTTTCTGTTGCCGTTCATGTGTGGCTCGATCAATCACTTTGCGTAGTTGAACTCCTGTGATTGTTCCAGCATACCGTACCGACAGGTTGCCCCTTGGTTCTTGTGGCCGTATGTGGCGTTTGGTGATGGTCAGCTTTACTTCACTTCTCGAGCTAGCTAGAGTATTACAGGACGAGGGCATTCTTCATTGACCATCTTCGAATGTTCAAGTCAATTGGATTTCTTCGGTGCCTGGGCCCAGTTTGTCCCCCCTGGCTTGTTCGATTCGATTCGGAACATAACAGTTCGATTTCGCAAGGCGGATAGCTTAGGTAATGTTAAAGCTAACAATAATATCTCATACGCTTATAGAGCTATTGGATCAAAAAAATTGTTTACCTTAGCTACCAGATCACTGTGTCAGAAGAATCTATTGAATCGTGGATACTAGCCAGTCGGGGATCCAAAACGGACCCCTTGACCCTTGACCCACCCTGACAACAAATCAACAGCCGCAGAACCACCAACATATCCGTATCTTTCCGTGTGGCTACCAGTATCTATTGAGAATGAAGGTGTTTGTCTCTTGGTCCGGCGAACGAAGCAAGAAGGTCGCTCTGATAATGTTTGATTGGCTCAAAGACTTGTTACCGAATGCGGAACCATGGATGTCCGCACGCAGTGTGGAAGCAGGACAGTGGTGGGTTGGAGAGCTCCAAAGCAGCATGCAAGAGGCTGAATTTGGCATCCTTTGCTTGACTCCGGAAAATCTCCAGTCACCTTGGATCCTTTTTGAGGCCGGAGCTCTAATGATGGCCAACAATAAGAATGGAACTGAAGGCAATGCCAAGATTGGCAGAGTGATACCCTTGTTGGTCGGGTTGCGAAAGGCAGAATTGACATTTCCCTTGGCTCAGTTTCAGGCCGTCGAGTCGGACCGTCAAGGATTCTGGGAGTTGGCTTTGGCGGCGAACCAATCTCTGGCGGTAGACGAAAGTGCAGAACCCTCCAAAGTAGCCCTGAACAAAAAGTTTGCCGCCTTATGGCCGACTCTCCAGGCGCGTATTCAGTCTATCCAGGAGATGAGTGCTGCCACCGACGATCAGAAAGGGGGCGCAGGTAAGAAACTCTCCGACCGAGAAATGCTTCAAGAAGTCTTGGAAAAGGTTCGAAACCTTGAAAATGTACCAAACAACAACATCAATAGAGCTGCGGAACAGCAACAGGATTGGGAAGACTATTTCATTCAGGGTCTCCACCATGCAAATAGACGCAACGGCAGAGAATCCGACAAGCAGGCTTTGTATTACTATTCGCTCTGCAAAGCTACCATGCCAGACTACCTGCCACCCAACGAAAAGGCTCGGCTGATTACCTATCACGCTGCCATACTCAAGCGACTTGGTCGGCTCGACGAAGCCGAAAGCGAACTTTCTTTGGCTCTCAAACTGGCCACTCAGCATGATGAAATTGCGGATGCCCTTTACAACATGGCCGGTGTGTTATCCATGAAGGGGGAGACCTCACAGGCACTGGATTGCCTCGAAAAAATGGTAGAACGACAGCCATGGCGGCGTCTCCCCCACGCCTATTTCTTCAATGTCTGGCACGAACCAAGATTCCAAGCTCTCCAGAGACGAATTGCACACCATTTGGGGAATGAAGCGCGCTTACTTGGCCAACTCAAGACCCGAAACGACCCCATGCACGACTAGCACCTGGGCTCGTGCATGCAACGCTTACGCTGTCGGCCGTCCGCTCATTATGGAGTGGGAACGAAAAGGAGAAGCACAACATTGACACAGCACGGGCGGGTGCGTTTTGTTTTGCCAAGCCCGAGGCCCTTCTCGTCGTTGCATGTCAGTTGTTACCTCAACTGAAACATCATGTATGTATTCTTTCAAATATGCAGTTGCTTGGGTGCAATTTTGGATACTCGTGGTCTTGTGGGATGGATGGACACAATGGAATGGAATCGCAATTCACGGCTGCCCCCTTCCTCTAGACAGTTTTCCCCTGATCCTACGCCAGTACGAAGCCAAGCAGTAGACACAAAACAAAAAGCCAGCCATCGCTCGATCAATCAGCCTGAAGGTGCCCAATAATTTCATATTAGTCAATTTGGAGAAGCACAATCTCAGCGCAACAGTAGCATGTTCTCAAGCAGTACATGCATCTACCATCATCGTGGTTCAACCGGTGCTTCAGCCACCCTATCCAGGAGCATTTTGTTTGATCCTCCTGTGCAGCTTGGAATTCATGATTTTTGGTAGCTTTTGATTTGGAACCACACAAAACCTGGTAGGAACAATGGGAACAAATTTAATGATGTCTTGTTTCGGGTCGTACCGGTATCACTGTCCTGGACAGCTCACTTGACTTGCTTGGCCAACTCCAAAGGCGAAAGGCTTTCAATCCCATGCACGATTAGCACGAGGGCAATTACGGGTGCCGCCGTGGGCCTCATTGAGATCCTTCTCGTTCCATGCAACTGATTCGAATCGATTTGGGGGGTGCTCATGGTCTTGTGGACGTGAGAGACACAACGTGTCTGTGCACATTACTGCCGACGTGATCGCCACGCTGCAATCCCTGCCACCACAACGCCCCCAATCGCGAGAAGAAGTGTATTGTAGTTCCACCATGTTTGTTGTTTTTGTTCACTAGCCTTGTCGTCGTCTTCGGCATATGTTTCTTCAAAGACGATCCGTTCGCACCGATAGACCCCATCATTGGCCAGCGGATACGTCGTCAAGAGATAATCTCCCGGTTCGATGCGCATCAAGGATCCCCAGGGTGCTTCCCCCCAGGCAAACGACGTGTCCTCCTCATGACTGCTAGAAGGAGGAGACGCCGCCAAGAACCAATCCAAATCGTACTGCGTGACTTGATACGCCCACGCCTTGCGTTTGGAGCAATATTCTTGGTATCCTTCCTTGCGAAGTCGGCGGTGGGAAAATGGCACTTCGTTCGGATTCTCGACATCGTAGTTGGTCTCCAATTGTTGTTGCGTCAAGACATAACATTCTCCCGCCACACCACAGACAATCCACGAGGTGTCATTTTGAACTTGATAATCGGTTTCCTTGACACCACCAATGGTAGTCGTAATGTACTCTCCTTTTATGCCTCTTCGTATGAATGCTTTGCTGATTTTCCGATAGACGCTGCCGTGTTTGGGGAGTAGAGGGAGAAAATGTCGTACAATTTCTTGCTGGGATCGATGATGGGTCATGTTGGTTGTTGTTGTAGTAGTTGCTGGCGGATTGGGAGTTTCGTGCGATCGGAATTCTTGAATAATGGCATCCACCTTTTCGGCATCTCCTTCTTTTTGGAGGAGCGTTCTCAGAATCAAGAGTTTGTCCTGGGTTTTAGTAGCTCTGGCATCGACACAACTCATGTGTACATGAGCAAAGTAATTGGGCCCGGAGACAAATGTATGATCGGGAAACAATCCGTACTGTTTGGCAAAAAAGACTTCGGCCACACACCAGATTCGTCCAAAGAGACAACATTGGGAATTGCGAATGCAGACAAAGAGTGGGGCTTTGGAAATGGCTTTGGCAAATGGCGTTTGGGCGAGTCCTTCACTGGTATGAATTTGATTCTGGATCACTTTGTCATTGTCACTTTGCATCAGAGAAAAACTGCAAATCCAGAGATTGGGTTTGCGAGGTTTGCACTTGAAGGCGGTCACTATCGATGCCACAAACTCGGCAAAATAACCATCCCAGCTGCAGTGTAGGCAGGCAGGGTTAAAGCAAGCGACATGTGTGAGCGTGACAAACAACACGCAATACAATACAGAATTCCTGGACCAACCCACTAACCTGTGTGTGACATAGGCACCAATATCCAGACCTTGTGGATTGAGTCCCAAGGCAAACGACTTGCCCGTACGAGCACACTGCGGCACCACAATTTCCCGACAGACATCCCGCATGGTCTGTCGCGGGTATCGGTCGGATCCAAAGTGTTGTTCCGCCAATGCGGCAATCTCCAAGAGCTGCTCAAAGGAAATGCACCATTTCTCGGGGTGATTTGCAGTCGCATGGTCTGTACCGATAGTAGAGGCGGCAGTGGTGGTATCCTCGGGATCTCCTTCCTCGGCAATATCCGAGCCAGTCGCCAGTGCCAAACTTCGACGGGTCATCTCATCTAGCTAGTCTAGATAGCTTGCACAAAGTATGGATAGAGGAACAACAAACCCTTTCCAGACGCAAGGATAGAAGGGACCACGAGAAAAGAAATGAGAAAGAAGCCAGTCTTGCTTTTTGGGCGAGTTCGCTTGTGGCGTTGCTTTCGGCAGAATAATATTGTTGTTCGCTTCTAAGCAGCTGCAACTGTGGCTACAGTAGCTAGCTAGTGGTAGTGGCACTACGGCTAGTCAGAAGCAAACTTCCCTACACTACCCCCCCAACTACTCTAAACCCCCGTACCAGGTATCCAACCTCTAACCCCCTACCGTACCGGTGGCAGTACAAGCTGAAGCGGACCCCCATACTAGTAGACCATTGCTACGAATGCAGAGACATGCTCAAATGCTGCTCGAAATGGACAATTGGAAATTTTGGAAGTGGGCTCGTGAAAATGGTTGTCCATGGAGTACATATAGTACATGCTGGTCTGCTGCTGGAAATGGACATTTGGAAGTTCTAAAGTGGGCTCATAAAAACGGTTGTCCATGGGATGAACAGACATGTGAAGAAGCTGCTGCAGGTGGACATTTAGAAACGTTGAAGTGGGCTCGTGAGATTGGTTGTCCATGGAATGAAGGGACATATCAAACTGCTTGCATGTTTAGCCAAACGGAAGTGATCCAGTGGCTGCGTGACAATGACTGCCCTGGGTCTAATGGACTGCCCTGGGTCTAATGATGAAGGGCACTAACATCATTGGTGGCTTCATTGGTAATGTTAGAAATTGACTTATAATAGACTGCATTGTCCTACGCGGGTAGAGCACTTTTTGTGAATCTGTTCTTCATCATGCCACCTCTTTTCTGTTCGTCTCTGTGTGTGGCTGCATTTTTTGAATTGAATCATGAAGTACCTGAGGCAACTCCTGCAGTGTTTGCTTTGTAGCCAGCCGCAGTCGAGAGCTCTCTGTCTGTCTTTCCTTTGTAGCCAGTCATAGTCGGTCACCCAGGGACCCTGCTAGATGCCACGTGCAGTCCGGATAACATTGGTTACCGTATGTGGAGGTCTGCGCGCATGCAAGAATGACAGCAAATATCAAGCAAAAAGGGCTATGGAATGCAGAGACATTTTTTGATGCAGAACTGAATGACCACAGCAAAGTAAGTGATCCAGTGGCTACGTGACAATGGCTGCCCTCATGAGGAAGATGAGGAAGATTCGGACGACAGAAGTGTGGACACCAATAGCAGTACGTAGAGTAGTTAGTAGCAGTGCCGCCGACGGCAGCAGCACGGGCTGGTCCAGTGGGTGAAATGCCCCTTTAACCTGCCCCAGGAACCCGAGTGCTCTATCCTCGAGTAAGGACCTGTCTTGGCTCAAATCCTGGTCCTTCTGTGGAGTCCTATTTCTTGGACCTAGCTAATAACGACCATAGCTGATATCCTAAAATGAATGATTGCAACTTGCCAGTCCGCTTCTAAAACTACGGTATTATTCACAGTACTCTACTCCAACATCTACATTCTATCCCCACAACAATTCGGTTCGTTGCTTGTTAGATCAAGCTTGCTATCCCTCTCTTCTTCTTCTTCTTCTTCGTGAACACCATCACAAATCCTTATGCATTCGTCTCTTCTGTCGAAGTCAACTCGGCCATGGATTCCGAGGACGACAAGAACAGTTCGGATTGCCGTGTCCCCAAGGTGGATCCACTGAGTCTCCGTCCTGCATCACTATACCCCGAGGATACAAAGTAAGGAAACATGGTGGGATACGCCACCATGGGTTCCTCCAACTCGGCAATCCAATCATAGACAAAATAAGGATGATTGTTGTTGTCATGATCGTCGTCGTCATCGTATTGAAAACTGGTGGACAACATGGTGGACACGGAAATGGCATCATCCATGTCATAACTATATATAGCGTTGTCTGTTCTGGTCACTTGACGCAAGCAGGCATATCGGAATTCCTTCTTGATGACATTGGCGGAAGGGGAGCGTCTGGAATGAGCCAGTAAGAGTTCATAGACATCCGGATCCAGCAAGAGTCCCTTGGTGGAGATCAATGGTTCCGATCGTCGTCGACGAGCGTCTTCTTCCACTTTTCGAAGCGTGGCATAGCGAAACTCTTTTTTGATGATATTGGCAGACGGAGATCGTTTGGAATGCGTGACGACCAACTGGTAGACATCCGGGTCGAGGACGTGATCGGCGGCAAAAATGAGGGGTGCCGATCGCTTGCGACGGGCTTCTTCTTGTACCTTTCGCAGTGAGGCATAGCGATACTCTTGCTTGATAATGTTGGCCGAAGGAGAGCGTTTGGAACGGGCTTGGAGCAGTCTCTGGACGTTGGGACGGACTTGGGGTGGTTGTGAATGGAGAGAGGGCATGGACTGGGACCGTCTCAATGGTCTCTTTTCTAGTTTCATCAGATGACGTTGATGGTGAAAGTGCTTCTTGATGAGAATGGCGGTGGGAGAGACCGTTCTCTTATTACCAGCCTTTCTAGTGGGAGAGGATTGCGGTGATTGCTTCTTTGAAGCACATTTGCGGATGGCTTCGACAATGGCTTGGCGATGCTTCCATTCGTCAACTTCACCACTGGCAACACCCATCTCTCTTCTCACGCCAAGCTCCTCCGTCTTATTCTTCCCCTCCTCATCATCAGAAGCAAAGCGAACCGCCTTGCCCGCAACCGAGGTGCCAGTCGTGCTTTGGACCTTACTATTGGTGGTCTCATCCTCTTCTCCCTCTTGTGAGGCTGCCCTTGTCACTCCTTCTTCCTCCTTCTCCTCGGCCACCTGGGAATTCGATAACTGTCGTCCTGGTGCCATGGCCCTGGCAATCATCGTGGATGAGCGGAGCAAGAGAGATCAAGCTGTTGGGTTGGGCAGCTCTGGTGCCGATTTCATGACGGTGCTGTGATGGTAACCATCCAATAATAACATTTTGATGATTGATTAGTGCATCCTCCACAGCTAGTTGGATAAATTCATATGCCCCCTGGGTCGTCTCCGTTTCCAGTACTAGTTTAACTTGTCTACTAATACAGGATAATGGTGAATAGAATCAATTTTGAAGTCAACGTGTGTTAAGTGGAGGGTTGGCTCGCTTCCGCTGGGAGCTTGGTGTCTTCTTTTTCCTCTGTTTCCCGCTCTTCGTCGGAACTGGGGTATTCGGTAATAGGTTCGTGAGCAAGTTCGGCAGCTTCTTCATACCTTGTGGAGTGTCATCATTCTGACTATTCGCAGGTGATACTTTGGCCGACGTGGTTCGTGGAACAGGTGGGACGGAAGATGACGTATTTGGTTGCATTGGAACTGGGAATGGTTTGCGAATAATATGGAGGTCCAGTATTGAGGATTTGAAAGTGAGGCACGGGGATTTATACGGAAGCTACTGTAGGAGACTTACCACCGTTCTCCTGCTGGTGCTTTTCGAGAAGAGTTCCAAGAAGGCTCAAAGTTCATGCGGGGGTAGTGCAAAACCATGGGGAAGGGCCAGTGTGGCGGCTTGAAGCGAACTGGTGGGTAGAGGTGGGGGCGGGGATGGTGTGCGTGCGTAGTGGCTTGTAATAATGTTGCGACGGGCACAGTGAGGCCCGCATGCGACCGAAGTTGGATGATCAAGGTTGTTTCGGTGAAATCAACGGACGTAAGACGTGAAGCCGGAGTTGACCACGAGGCCAAATAGAGTACACATGGCCCTTGTCGTCCTTGAGGAATTCGGATACAGTGCGGAATTCGCCTTGATCGATCCAAGAATCCGTCACAAGGTGAGTCATGATGTCGGAGTGGGTGATCAGCTCACTCCAGGTGTCATGACCGTTTTTTTTTTTTTTTTTTTTTTTTTTTTTTTTTTTTTTTTTTTTTTTTTTTTTTTTTTTTTTTTTTTTTTTTTTTTTTTTTTTTTTTTTTTTTTTTTTTATTTTTTTTTTTTTTTTTTTTTTTTTTTTTTTTTTTTTTCCCCCCCTGTACCACTTGTCCTGTTTGTCGAGAACTAGGTAGGGTTCCAATCCAG